ATTTGTATTAAAGAATCTGTCCATGTAACTGTCAACAAAATAAACAGCAGAACGCAAACTGCTTGCAGAGGGAGGGAGCCAATGACCTGTAACAGCGGCAGTGTTGGGTCATAAAGGTCAACGTTCGTCAATGTAGGTCAGCTATGCACGTGACAGGTATGAAGAGGTGTTCATTTCTAGCAAATAGCCGGCGAATGACATCTCTGATTACCCTGATGTCAAAAGAATCTAACTTTGGATGCCTACCTTTTTGTACAAGGTTTTGTTTATTGGTTGTTGGTTTATTTTTCACAATTTTTAGCACGATGATCTTTTTCATGCCAAGAGCAAAAGTTGTACGTTTCATGTAATCCGACACCTGATAAATCGGTTTGGCTACGTTTGCTCTCTTTTAAAAAAAAAATGAACGCATTTCTAATTAAACGTTTAGCATCATCTGAATAAGCTTTCATGATGACAGCTAGAAGTAGTCAATGTGAATGATCCAAACGGTCTATCACTGTGCAGTGCACAGGTAACTATCATGAACTGCACGTGCATTTACCTTTATGACCCAACACTGCCGCTGTTACAGGTCATTGGCTCCCTCCCTCTGCAAGCAGTCTGCGGTCTGCTGTTTATTTTGTTGACAGTTACATAGACAGATTCTTTAATACAAATGCATAAAATCGGTGATTTACAATGTGATTAGGTTGTCTGACAAAACATCCACTTGCACAGTTTGAGATCGATTGGGTCATTGGATGAAGAGATATTTACAAAAAACCGGGTCCACATGCATTTCATGCCAAACTATAATACACAATTTAATCATGACCACCCACATACGTGTCTTGTGCAAGTTTATTATTATTATTTTTTGCAAAATGTGATTATTTCCATATATTAATGTAATCAATAAATGGCAAAACTATTATCTAATATACCGTTTGATGGTGTCAAGGAGAAAGTCTTGTGAGCTGTTGATCCTTTTCGCATTATATATATCAATATCAGTCATTTCCATGTCCCAAAGTGGGAAGCGGGGATATGTGAGCTGTGCTCACTTCTACACTTGTTTTCATGGTATACTTGTATTAAATAATTATGTCAAATAGATTTCCACATAACTGATATTCAGATGAAAGATAGTAATGGAAGGTAGGTCATTTACACTTTGTTTATGCATTCACAGATTTTTAGAATCTTTACCCATTACCTTTTTGGGTGAAAAAACAACAACTTATACTATGTATTAATGATAATAAAGAAAATATCTGAAAATGTTGAAAGTTGTTAACAGCAGTAAAAATTAAACATTGTCAAGTCTATCATCAAACTTAACCAAGGATTTTAATTTATTGCTACATTTTTTCATGCAAATCACGTAGTATCCAATGCTACATCTTTCCATGTAGTAATGGATTCTGGGTTCAAGGGGGTGAATTTCTGAATGCTGCCGTCCCGATAGGCCAACTGTATCCCAGCTGACAAGTGCTCTTAGAACAGCCAATACCCGTGAAGGACCGGGTTAGAATTGGTCTTCAGCAACCCATGCTTGTCGTAAGAGGCGACTAACGGGATCGGGTGGCTCGCTGACTGGGTTGACGCATATCATATCCCATTTTCGTAGATCGATGTTCATGCTATTGATCCCTGGATTGTTGATCCAGACTCGATTATTGTCTGGAATATTCAGTGCGGCGTAAAACTAAAATCACTCACTCACTCTTCAGTCCATACTTTCTGACTAACGATATTTTCAGTCCATATGACCCATGTCTGTCATAAGTGTTGGCTGAAACACGGTGGGTTTGCTGTAACGTAGCAGTTTTCTTTATTTGATTATCCACTCATGACAGTAATCACTGCATAGTCACCGTATTCACACCTAACAATCTCAGTCGACATCAGCTGGAAAGATTTCCGCCCGTAACCCCCGTTTTATTATCATTCTATGCCTAAGATATATATTAAGAATAGATGTTTTTTATAGAAAGCCTATCCTAACCCTAAACCTAAACCTAACATAATGCTGAATCTAAACCCTAAACCTAAACCCTTGAAATAATCATAATAAATAGAATACTTTTCAAGCGGGGTTTACGGGCGGAACTCTTACCACAGAGGTGAACTAAAACGATGAACTCTAGATAACTAAGACGAAAACACCAGCTCCTAACCTCCTTGTAATAAATATAAATACGGAAGAAATATAAATGTTACTTACCCCAACAGGTGCAGTGCTGTGATAGTAATGCTGAGTTGAAGTGCTGAAGTAACCAGAGTAGTGAAATGTTGAAGTATATAAGACTTCAGATCTGGTCACATGCTACAGATACAATAAAAACAATCAGTGGCCAAGCCATGGCTCGACCAGGAACCCCATGCTAACTTACATTATTCTTTCACCTTGGGATTAGTACAGAGGGCTTGGGTGAGTTAAATAAAATCTGTTACCGTACTTACCTAAATTATCTACCCATGTTTAAAATACATAAATGTATGTACAGAATATTTTCATTCTGCTACATTTGTTTTTCCAACCAGTGACAATACATGTTTATTAAATATCTTTGTTGGCTACCAGTTTCTTCCAGGTCCACCATTAATATTTGTTGGTTGCTTAACACCGCACTCAGTATGCCAGCTATATCGCGGCGGTCTGTAAATAGTCTTGACTAGACAACCCAGTGATCAACAGCATGAGCATTGATCTACGCAAATGGGATACGATGACATGAGTCATGCAAGCATGGGTAAAATTCCATCCCAGAGTCCACCAATGACTTCTTTTCATGCAAAATGTCACAACAGAAGGGCATCCTGGTCATGGTAACTTAATTTGATTCCATAAATTGTTCAACTGTTTTTGTACCATGAAACCAGTGTATTGATAACACACGCACAGTATATACACGGCAATAGTTTATTTATAAATATATCTGTACATATGATATGATACATTTGTACAAGGCTTAAATAGGGTCCCAGCTGTTGAGAGATCTGTGAATGTGGCAGAGAAAATTTGCTGGCACACACAATGTCGGGTTTCAGACTGCAAGTTACCTTTACAGTACATTAGAGAAAAGGAACAAATTTCATGACCCCAAAGTTGTTATGCTCTCAGATTCAATCAGGCTTCCTCTAAACAGAATGCATTTTGCATCATGGAATATAACTAGCCTAAGATTATCAAAGACAACATGTTTGCCACTGCAGATAAAGCTAATATTGTGGTACAACTTTGTGGGACGCAAAGCGAAACTTTCTCCGAAAAGGATACCAATACTCAGCAGACTGAACCAAAGAATTTTGTTATGAGCATCTTTCAAAAACCAACCTGAAGCAATTTACATTTTAATTTCCCAGTATATTTTGGGTAAATAGTCGGGAGATCCTAAACAGCTTTATGTTCATTCTTCAAAACCACATTTGATGAAAAATTGTCGAGTTTCACACTGCAGAAAGTCCCTTTTGGGCCGCTGAAATTATTTCTCTAGAACTTGAATGCCATGAGATGTAAAAAGCAGAATGTATAGCCTAGCATCGTCTTCTTTGTCAATTCACACAAAATGCAACAGCATACACTATTAGAATGTAATAAGACAAATGTAAGTTAAAAGTTCTTGAGACTTTCATCATGAAGGCCGAGGTGCTGTTACATCGCATACTTTCACCATTACTGACCCCAGTTCTTTACAAGATGGACACTGGTATGTTTTGAACACAAATAACTGTCATCTACTGACAACGTGCCATTGTGGATTATAAAGGATCTGTTTGCATCTCATTACATATATAAACAAAAACAATCCGTCTGGTTTACAAAACTAGTCTAACAATACCTGCAACAAGACGCATAAAAAGCATTTCAGCTGCTGCCTCAGATTTGACTCATTCATAGTTTAATCAAGTCAATCATGTTTTAAAGAAACATAGATTTACACTTTATCAAACTGCAAGTGTTAAATAAAAGATGTCTTATTGGTGGGAAGAACCGTTTTACTAACTGCTGTTGAGAGAGATTTTGTATTGAAGAGATATCAAAACTCCCTAATTCCAAAACATCTATTACATGTGTTCCAATGTTCTCTGGAATATTGCTCGGAATATGGAAAGGACTCTTTGCAATTGTATCTAAAGTTACAGCATTAGTGAACACCTTTATGGTGATTACATTTCCGAGAGAATGCAGCTCGCAGTTCCAACAATACATCTACATCTACAGTCAATCAATATTCAGCCATTTTACACTTTGATTCTCATCATAGTTTTGTTGAACTCCGCACATACAACCAATGCCATTATGATTGCTCGTTCAAGAGTGATCTCATGATGTCTTTCAATCAGCTTTGATAATGTAAGTTTACAGTATCAGTGAACATATTTCATTCACAAAAAATATACTTTTTCAAAATGAAGGAATGAGACTTGGTACAAAGGTCCACACCAAGTTTTTGAGGGGAGACAAATCTTACAAAATAGATACTAGTCTATTCATATATACTTGTAGGCTGTTATCCATAAATGAACACATTCCCAAATGAATGGGATCGTTACATTTCAAATATTGTAATTCCCCATATCACTTCACCAGTCGTGTAAATTTCTGATTGTGACACAGCAGATTGATAGGAACTGTGTTTTAACAACTTCCAGATCAACATACACTCTTAAATGTCTCCGGTGATATAGGGTGTAAACCACAAGTGATGTTCTAGTGACATATTTCATCAGATGCTAATCTACTTCACATGTGATTTGATCACACATTTTACAGGAGTACTCAGCTGAATAACATGTATTAACTCCTGGAATTTATAGTGAGTGAGTTGGGTTTAATGCCGGTGTTCCAGTTATGTCAGGATATATCAGTTTGATGTCGGAGGAAAAAAATTTGAGTGAGTGAATTTGGTTTTCGCCTCACTCATCAATATTCCAGCTATATGGCGGCGGTCTGTAAATAGTCGAGTCTGGACCAGACATTCAAGTGATCAACAGCATGAGCATCGATCTGCGCAATTGGGAACTGATGGCATGTGTCAACCGAGTCAATGACCCTGACCACCTGATCCCGTTAATCGCCTCTTACGACAAGCATGGGTTACTGAAGATCAATTCTAACCCCGATCTTCATGGGTCCAAAAAGATCTGAAGTGAATCGGGTCACTGATATCACTTTGGTGAAACCCACGGCACAAGTTTGCTGCTGACAAAAATAGATACATGTACATTGGAGGGAAACTGGGATTCCTAACCACAATTATAGTGTCCTTGCATGCCCAAGGGACATAACTCTCCACAGCAAATGGCAGCATCTTAGAAATGACTGGCTCCATGACCCAGAAATTTAGAAATGTGTTCATCTTGATGCAACAGCATATCTTGTTTTTCTCCACTTGAGCCACTTATCCTTCTAGGAAAGGATATGAAAACACTTAAAACAGCTATTAATGGTTATTCGTATAAGGTTGGATTAAAAATACCTAAAATTGAACTAGCGTTGAGAAGGCTAGGTTTAAATACATACATATAGATATAAACAATAAATACATGTTCCTGTATACAATGCTGAATCAGTGATAAGATGCTAGAAAGTAATACAAGCATAAAATGAATTTTATACACATCTACGTGTCATGTGTAAGATAAAAAGTGTAACTCCCATCTTTAACAGAGCTGAGACAAGCTCCACACAGTGACATAGGGCACTGAAGCCGAGAACAACATACCTTTAACAACAAATATTGAAAAATCACTACCTACACAACAGCTATCAGGTCTATCAACAAACAATTTTAAAAATCAATTTACATTTGATGTATAATGAAAGTGCACTTTTTGTACATGTAAAACTAGGGGCTACTTTACACTGCTGATATATACACTGTACTACTCTGTACAAATCTACCGTATATCGCAGAGTATAAGGCGATTTTTCGTACCTGAAATGAGAGGGTTATAGACTAGATTAGATATAGATTAGCATTGATTTTGAAGGTTTGTAGATTGGGGTTGTCGCACTATACGAGGCTATATACAATATCTGGTCCATGGTATTTAATATATCCCACGGTAGTTGATTGGTCCATTTCACTGGGATATAAGGGAGATAACCATTCTTGGCAATTTCAGTCTTGATTATAGTGGTGTGATTATCAATAATTTCATCTATTGGTCTTACCCCTAAAACTACCTGTGGAGTTAAGATGACATGCAAGCTTCATTCATACTGAAACATTTACAAATAAATTAAGAAAATGAAATACTCTGATGGCAAGATTTTCATACTAATCTACAACCAAATATTAGCTTGAGGAAATCATTCTAACAATTTCTTTGTATTTATTCATCTGCACCAATTTCATCTAGAGATTCCCTCTCACATGTATTTTTATTAGAATTAAGTATTTTGTGATCTCATTACATAGAACTTCTGCCCATAAAAGGAATGCTACACAGTAAAATCTTTGTCTGAGTCCTAGATAAAGTACAGTTAAATCCTATATCCAATTCTCAGATGAATAATGTACAATTCAGTTCAAATCATGACCCTAAAAGTACAATTAATTCCTACTTTTGACCCTTAGATGAATAAAGTACAGTTAAATCCTACTTCTGATCCTTAGGTGAATAAAGTACAGTTAAATCCTACTTCTGATCCTTAGGTGAATAAAGTACAGTTAAATCCTACTTCTGATCCTTAGGTGAATAAAGTACAGTTAAATCCTACTTCTGATCCTAAGATGAATATAGACCAGTTAAATCCTACTTCTGATCCTTGGGTGAATAAAGTGCAGTTAAATCCTACTTCTGATCCTTGGGTGAATAAAGTACAGTTAAATCCTACTTCTGATCCTTAGGTGAATAAAGTGCAGTTAAATCCTACTTCTGATCCTTAGGTGAATAAAGTGCAGTCAAATCCTTGTCCTAACCGCTTGAAATGCGTCATTATGATTCCGACACATCAATGAGTGTAAAACTGATACAAGTTTCTACAACCAAAGCTACTCTACACACAGCAGCTGCAACTACGTGGAAAAACATCAGCTGCACTACCAGAGCTACTGAAGGGTACTGCCATTGTACTCAGGCCAAGCAGTTACCATAGTTACCATGCCAATCTTTGGTGAAAGAGGATACTGGGGATTATGGTATCACCACTTTGAATATCACAGGAAATTAGTGTGAGCGAGTGAAGTCTTCATCAGATATATTGCAGCCTTTCACAGCAGTTTTGGGTTCCAGTCCAATGTTTATAGTTTAACACCACACTCAGTATGCCAGCTACATCGTGGTGGCAGTGTGCGAAATAGCCACTGGCCCGTTAGCCCGTGGCTAGTAAAAGTCCAGTCGGGCCAGTAAATTTCCACAGTCACTGGCCCACTGAATTTTCATGGGTTCATTTTCAAAATATATCCCTCTCTCCGATTTGCTAAGTTATAATACACTTTAAATTCATGCCAGATTACGCCGGATAAATGATATTTTACCTTTGTAATATTTTGATTAGTTTCTACATTCAAATTTCGGGCTAGTGAATTATTTTGTGGGCTAGTAGCTTTCAGGCATAGTTAACCCGACTGGCTAGCAGAACATGGAAACTATTTCGCACACTGTGTGGTGGTCTGTAAGTAATCAAATCTGGACTAGACAATCCAGTGATCAACAGCATGAGCATCTATCCACAGTAAACATTGCTGGATAGGGGTTGAAGACTCATCAAGTGATAGTGTGCAGTGTTCCGATGTGAGCACCAGATAATGAGGGTGTGTTTTGATACAAGATGATACATGTACAAGAGTGTGTACGTGAGAGTAAATATCTGATAAACATGGTCCGGTTGGGTCTCTAGTATTACGTCAAGTCTGCTGAATCGTATTGCAAGTTGAAAGGGGGTCATCAAAATTCCTTATGCTGAGGTTCAGTGCAGAGGTGGATCGAGGATTTTGAAAACTACACAAGGTGAACCAAATTCATGCTGGCATGTGCTCATCACTTCTGGACATACCAGTAGTTAGCGACAGATGTGTACTCGCATCCATCCATTAGGCTTTAACCAAACACTGAATTAGCCAGGGCGAGTTGAAATATACTTGTGCTCTTGTGTGCTGGGTTGCTTAAGGCTGTCCTTGAAATCATATCAGTGGACAATGTCCTTAATATGTGATCGTGATGGACAGCATGTTTAACAAAATGATTAGATAATGTTTGTACCTGACAAAAGGCAGGGTTGTTATGTTTTACACCAATATGAGAAATTCAACAGCTTCAACAAGGCACCTTGTAAATATCTGACTCGTACATACCATTGATATTATGATCAATATCAACATATCATCCACAGATCTGACATGAATGTGATCCACAATTTCTTCGTATTACATCCAAATGATGTTTGATGATCCTATACATCTACAAACAGCCCCTCTACCTAGCATATCAAAACATAATATCAACAAAGGTAAATGTCAGTTAAAAACAAAATAACAAAGTTTCCTCCTGAACACATGTAGTATCTCCTGCAGGCCCTCCTTGGTGACAAGCCAAAATGTCTGCCATTCTTCTATGCCATGAGGCTATGTCTCGAGGCCATCTGTTGATGTCAGGAGGCTATCTATGCCATGAGGCTAACTATTGATGCCATGAGGCCATCTGTTGATGTCAGGAGGCTGACTGTCTGTGCCATGAGATTGACTGTCTGATCCATGATCCTATCTGTCTATGCCACAAGGCTAACTATCAATGCCATGAGGCTATGTCTTGAGGCCATCTGTCGATGGTATGAGGCTAACTATCAATCGACAATGCCAGAGGCTATATCTTGAGGCTATCTGTCAATGCCACAAGGCTCTCTGTCTCTGCCACGAGGCTATCTGTCTATGCCATGACGCTATCTGTCAGCTGGATGCTGCCAAGATGATGCCACTGACAGAACTCCTTGGAGAGGTCGAGATCTCGGAGCTTGAGGTACACGGTGCCCATGAGGTTGTTCTGCCCCAATGCCTGGTCCCACACTGACACCTGGAGAACGCGCTGCTGGATCTTCTCTAGCGGCATCTTGTACTCAATCTGAAAACAGATGACGAATGGTGATAATGTTGAATGTTGTTAATAGTAAATGTTGGAAGAAGTGAATATTGGAAACAGTCAATGGCGGAAACTGTCACTGTCAGAAAACAGTAGAATGGTGAAACAGAGATTGCTGGGAAGAGTGAATGTTGGAAACAGAGATTGATGGGGACAGTGAATGATTGAAACAGTGAATGGTTCAAACAGATTTTTTGGAACAGTCAGTGATTGAAACAGTGAATGTTGGAAACAGAGATTGTTTGGAGCAGTAAATGATTGAAACAGTGAATGGTTGAAACAGAGATTTTGGAAATTTTAATATAAATTGTATATTTATATACTTATCCTATCTCACGACTTGCACCTCTCTCTCTTGCTTCGACTTTAGTGGAACAACTGTAAACTTTTTCCATAGGCCTCCTTGTCCATTCGCCCGTGCACTCCATGCTGCTCTCCTTAATTAGCTTCCTAGTTCCTAATAAAGCTTGCAGCATGCTCCACTAATTGCCCACGTGACTACCTTGAATGATCATTCTCATCTTGGAGCCAACGTTGTAATCTGAGTAGTGGGGAGGCCGGTCGGGCATCCATCACGTGAGATAGGATAAGTATATAAAATATACAATTTTTATTATAAATTGTCCAAATATATAAACTTATCCTATCTCATGACTTGCACTTATCCCACGGGTTGGACTGGCGGGCCGCAGATTACCCTTCTGTCTGGACAGTGCGAACAGCTGGTCTTTGAGCTGTGTGGACTGATGACAACTGTAGATAGCGATGTACAAGGGAGGCCTGTTATGCATGCATGCAACTCCTATGCTTGTAGTGGGTTCTCTGGAACCCCTTGGCTTACAAAGCACAACGACTCCCAGGGAGATGGGTGCTCCTGAGTGATGTGGTGTTCGGCTGCAACCTTGTACAAGACAAGGGACGCAACTCGGCAAGTAAGCCTCGCCTCACCACGAGTTACAAGGTACCCCCGTAATTAAAGTCTTGCGACTTGAATTGGGCCAGCCCCTGCTTCAAGAAGGCCCCCCAGACACCAACCGAGGCGGGGGAAAGAGAAACACAACTCGGCATCTCCACGGTTTAACGTTCAGTTCCGGGCAGCATCAAATCGACCCTCACTCCTTTGCCTAAGCTTAGTCAAAGGATGTGCCCAGCAACTTTGGAGGCAGAATGCAACGAAATCCACTGGAATTCGGGAGTGTCACACTTCACTGACGTCATTGCTCCGTGGAGTAGAGGTCAGTAAGCGTGAATGTCGAACACCTCCGCAGCGTCATACTGATTGTGCCTCAGGTCCATAGGGCCATGCTAGGTGGCCATATTCCGATGCCTTGGTATGGAGGCCAAGTGAAGTAGTTCTTAAACCCATATAATGAAAACAAAAGGTTGAGATCCAGTTCAACTTTTATTCAGTATATACAAGAAAGTAGTAACGCGAATGCGGAACCGTCCCTCATCTGCGTTGTTGGACCGATGTAAGCTGCTGAGCCAGTACAAGAGGTCCGAACTGGTGTAGTCCCTGGACATCCGTGACAGACAAGTCTCACAGGTAATGTGAAGAGAAGACTGTATCAGAACGCCAGAAGCAACCTTCCATGATAGCGGTCAAGGAGCAGTTGCTATGGAGTGCCATTGTTGAGGCTAGTGCACGAGTCTCATGAGGATTGGAAGCGGCTGGAGGAGGCAACCCTGCAAAGGTGTAGGCTCACAGCATCGTGGCACGCATCCAGGAGGCCAATGTGGTCCGGGAAACCTCAGTTCTTGAAGCGTTCGACAAGGGTATGAAGAGGCGCTTCTGTAGCTGTCGACGATCTTTGGAGGCAGCAAGGTAAACGTGTAGAGCTCTAACAGGGCAGAGTGTCAAATCTTCATTATCATCAGGCCCAAGGATGGTGGACAAAGGGGGAATGGTAAACATCTGGTCCGGTTGCCCTGGCAGTTGGTTTTTCGCAATGAAGTCCCAGCGGAGACCCAGGAAAGCCTTGCCATGCTTCTTCCGCTCGAACCGCACCCGATTGACATCAAGCACATTCAGTTCAGATATACGAGCAGCGGTAGCCAAAGCTACCAGGAAGAATGTCTTGAATGTCACTTGTTCGAAGTCCTTGTCTTCTAAAGGTTCATAATCTGTAGAAATCATATGACGAAGGACGACGGACAGATCCCAGGCCGGAGGTCTGAACTTCCTGGACTGGTCAGAGAGTCTATAGGAGCGTAGTAGACTCTGCAACTCGGGAACAGTGGAAATCTTCGTGCCTGTGGTGGTAGCCAAAACCGAGTTGATTGCGGCTAAGTAGGTAGTTAAAGTAGTACCCTTGAGTTTCTTAGTAGTGCGGAGATGCTGGAGAAACTCAGCAACGACCTGAACCGTGGTGGAAGTGCAATTCCCCTAAGCTTGCAATAGTCTTCAAACTTCTTCCACTTGTTGTCGTACAAGGAACGGGTCGAAGTACGATGCGCTGAAGTGATAGCTGTGGCTACTCGGTGAGAGTAGCCCTTAGCTATGAGAGACCTCTGAAGATGCGCCAAACATGTAGATTGAGGGTCTGAGGTGACCCGTGGCGCAGTTCCGAGTGAGGGTGAAGAAGTAGGTCGTCCCGGTTGGAAAGCGGTACTGGGTTTGGCTCTGCCAGGCTTCTTAGGTTGACGAACCAAGTTCTCGCTGGCCAGAAGGGTGCGACCAAAAGCAGTAGTATGTTGCTGGTGGCCAATAGTTTCTGTATTACTTTTGGTAGCAGAGCTGGAGGGGGGAACGCGTAGGCATTGAGACCCTCCCATGATATTGCCAACGCGCCGAGGTCCCACGCCAAGGAGTCTGGGATTGGTGATACGAACTTTGGAAGTTGGTTGTTGAACCTTGTGGCGAACAGATCTATTTGAGGCCGTGATAATGGGTAGATCATCGACTGAAAGATCTGGGGCAGTAACTTCCACTCTGTCGGGGACGATCGGTTGGGACGGGACAAGGCATCGGCGATCACATTTTTTACCCCGGGAATGGGTCTGGCTCTGGCTACGATGTTGAGTGAGTCGATGAGATGGAAGGACCTGATCGCCCATTGTAGCAGACTGGTTGATTGAAGCTCTGTTGCCCAATGTGAGATGGCTTGAATTACCGCCTTGGATTCCAGCTCGTTTATAGGAAGTACCTGTTCGTCAGATGACCACAGCCTGGCCACTTGGTGGTCGAGGAAGTGAGCTCCCCAGAACAGGTACAGGCGTAGAAATCACTGTATCGGCCGAAATTGGAGCTGGCCTCTGTACGTTAAGGCTGTAGCTGATGTCAGAAGGCCCAGTAGCTCCTGCCACTGTCGTAAGGTTCTTGCCTGAGACAGTGCTGGAGGAATGCATTGCTGAATCTTTATCCACCTGTTGTGAGGTACGAACATCATCCCCTGACGAGTGTCGAACAGTGCTCCGATGAATTGGAGTTTCTGAGTCGGTATTAGTTCCGATTTCGTGGTGTTCAACAGCCACCCTAACTGTCTGAGCAGCGTGGTGGTGATATGTACCTGGCGAAGCAATACGATCGGATCCTGTTGAGCCTGCATGCAATCGTCTATGTAGCTTTCGAAGGTGATCCCTTGAAAGTGGAGGAAGCTTGTTATGGGCTTGGTAATTCGGGTAAAAAGCCACGGGGCCGTGGAAATTCCAAATGGTAGGACTTTCCATTGGTAGTGATTCCCATTGAACACGAAGCGAAGGTACTTCCGGTGTTCTGGATGTATCGGAACGTGAAGATAAGCATCCTGAAGATCTAGGCTGATGAGGAAGTCTCCCTTCTTCAGGATTGTGCGTAAAAGGTTGATCGACACCATCCTGAAGTGAGGCGGTGGAAGCAGGAATCGGGCATTGAACAACTTCATATTGAAGATGAGCTGGAGTTTATTGGAATTTTTCTTTGGAACCAAGAAGATGGGGGAGTAGAACCCTGGAGTGATGGGCGATGGACCTAGGAGCTCTATCGTGAGTTTGTCTAATAGCGTACCTATTGTGGATTGCAGAGTCTGAAGCTGGTCCACAGGATATGAGCGATGAGCCGGATGCGACGTCAGAGGTGGATTGCCAATAACGGGTAGCTGATAGCCGTGAAGAAGCAGGTTGGTGACGTACAGATCTTTGAGGATGGTCCAATTCAGGGCGAAGATCTGTAATCTCCCGCCTACCGGAGTGTGGTAAATCGGAACGACTGGGGGCGGGAGGTCCCAGTCGTGCGATTGTCTCAACCGTCACTGCTTCCCGGCCCTGGTCCCTGGGCCAGAGTTGGTCCTGGGGGGGCGACGGGAGGAACCACCACGGCCACGGCCTTGAGTGGATGTGCCACGAAAAAGATTGCGTAAATCCAGGATTGGTAGGGGTGAACTGTGCAATTCGACGCTGTTTTAATGAGTCCTGGAGCTGTGACTTCTGTATCTTTAACAGTTCAATCGAGACTTGAAAGTGGGTTTCTTTATCAACTTTATTAGATACTTCTTAGATGCTACCCTTGAAGAAGGAGATGTTAAGGGGTCCACGTCGGCAAACAGCAAGAGTGTAGCCCAAAAAATCAGACAACTGATCCAGGATAATTTGGAACTGGTCCAGAGCTAAAGTCATGCATCCTCGGATGTAAGCGTCTTGATCAGAGTAAGTATGCTCCAGAGCAGTGTTAACAGCGTCGACTGCTGCAATCACGCAACTAATAGATGGCAACGTCTTTCTCATCCATGTGAGCCAACTCTCGGTCCTCAATAAGGTAGGGCGAAGCAGCTCGTTTGCCACACAGGGTTCCAATATCTTCATCAACTGTTGGAGCCGTAGAGATTTTTGTTAGGCCGTGGACATGAGAGGCAGAGAATCCGTCCTTAATTCGTTTCAGGCTCTTGAAACCATCATTTAGTGTACTGGATAATTTCAGAATACAAGGTCGAGGTGGTAGGGTCATGGTAGACCAATCCCGGGTCCTAAGAGCATAAGAGTGATCCAGGTCATCTGCTGAAGTACTCAAGGGAAGTTGGTGCTTCTCAACAAGCCAAAGGAGTACCTGAGGTGTCTCAACTGCTGCAAAGCTACCCCCAGGGGTAGATAACTGAGGTTATGGCCCTGATCATCATATTTAGATCCGGAGTCGCTGTAGAAGTGGGATTGTTATCAGGTTCCCATGACTCAGCGATGATCCTAGAGAGAGTCAAAGGATTCTCAGAGCGTGTAGACGGAACATCATAGGAGACTGTAGGCCTATTAGTGGTATCAGAGCAATGATCACCCGAACGTCGGTCAGAGGAACTGTATCGAGATCTCGACGTAGTAAGTATCGAAGTAGGTTGGTAAGCCGGTGATCTGGATTCCCTAGTATGGCTAGGTGATCTGGTATGATATGAAGAACTAGTCCGGGTCGCTGTAGTTCTAGTTGGTGATCTGGTTCTGATTGGAGCTCTGGTTCGACCATCTGAATAGGATCGGCCATGAGATGTGGATCTGTACTGTCATCCCGATTGGTCAATGGCTCTGTAAGGTGATCTAGATCATAGAGGTGACCTGGGTTGGTAAGATGATCTGGATTTGTAAAGTGATCTGGATCGAATCGATGCACTAACTGGAAACTGTGATTGTGATCTGGATCTATAAGGTGATCTGGATCGAACAGGTGATCTGGTTTGCAGTTGCGATCTGGCTTGATTTGGTGATATGGATCGGTTAGGTGATCTACTTCGATGTTGCGATCTGGATCGGTTAGGTGACCTAGATCGGTCCGGTGATCTGATTCGAGGTTGTGATCTGGATCCATTCGGTGATCTGGATCGATTAAGTGATCTGGATCGGTCCGATGATCTACTTTGATGTTGTGATCTGGATCGGTTCGGTGATCTGGATCGGCTAGGTGATCTGGATCTGTCTGGTGAACTGATTCGAAGTTGTGATCTGGACCCGTTTGGTGATCTGGATCGTGACTGTGATCTGGATCGATCCGGTGATCTGGATCGGCACGGTGATCTAGATTGGGCTTGTGATGGTGATCTGGATCGTGAAGGTGATCTAGATCGTTGTGGTGATCTAGAATGATGTGGCGGTCTTGATCGGCGATTAGGTCGTCTATTCGTCTTGCATTGAGCACAAACATTCCTTTTCCTTGACTGATTATCAGTTTTCCCCATGATGTTAGGGTGAAATAATGTCCCTAATATACAGCACGTCCACACAGTCGTGCGACAAGAAAGAGAATGATCATTCAAGGTAGTCACAAGGGCAATTAGTGGAGCATGCTGCAAGCTTTATTAGGAACTAGGAAGCTATCTAAGGAGAGCAGCACGGAGTGCACGGGCAAATGGACAAGGAGGCCTATGGAAAATGTTTACAGTCGTTCCACTAAAGTTGAAGCAAGAGAGAGAGGTGCAAGTCGTGAGATAGGATAAGTTTTAAAATGTTGGGAAGAGTGAATGGTTGAAACATAGATCGTTGGGAACAGTCAATGATTGAAACAGAGATTGTTGGGAACAGTCAGTGATTGAAACAGAGATTGTTGGAAACAGTGAATGAGGAGAACAACGTTGATTACAGTCAGGGGTGGTAACAGTGAATGAGGAGAACAACGTTGATTACAGTCAGGGGTGGTAACAGTGACACTCACCACTTCGTTATATGTAGGATGTGCACTGTTCTTCATCACTTTGGTCTTCTGCTTGGTCTGCTTCTCGGGGTCAGGCAGGAGATACGTCTTCACATAGGGGCTGGGGAAGTCGGGCCCGGGGGACTAGGAGAACAGAACATGTTCTGGTTAAATACAATCCACAAATCTATGAAGGAGGGCGTCTGATAAGGAACCTTATGGGTTTTCTGAACACAACCTGTTAACTCTAGGTTGTAAGGGGCCACCAAATGTATGATGTGGCTGTGCTCAGTGAGTTGGGTTATTGTATCAACCGTGATGGCGTGTATCATCCTCATAATATGGATCTCCAGATTATTATTATAATAACATCATAGCTTCGAGAGGGATTTTGGGTTGGACTGAGTTTGGTTTTACGCTGTTTTTAGCACTATTCCAGCAATACCACGGCGGGGACACCAGAAATGGGCTTCACAAATTGTACCCATGTGGGGAATCAAACCCAGGCCTTCGGCGCGTGAGGAACGAACACTTTAACCACTAGGCTAACCCACTGCCCCGAGAGGCATTTAGAAGTCCCAGCAGTAAGGAAGGATAAAAAACATGAATGAACAATTTCTTTATTACAATAAGTTTATCATTTCAGTGTATGTTCTAACACTTGCTTGACAACGGTGCTAGAAACGTTGCTCTAACAGTAATATAACATATACTGCTTTCCTTCCATCTGATCCAGATCTCATTACACACATTTACAGGCCAGACAATGGCTGCTGTTCCACTCACCAGATCCTTGGCGTGCATGATGAGCACCTGCAGCGAGTCCTTCTTGTACTGCAGAGACAGCTGCACCTCGCCGCGGACACCTGTAGCGCTCCCCGTCGTCTGCATGACCGGGCCCTGAAACAGACGACGTCATCAGTAAACATTTCTTCCTTTCCCAAAGGTCATATGTCAGAACAGACGCACTATGGATGAGGGATGGAGAACTACCTTCACTGTTCCTGATTGTGAACAATCAAATTGTCTTTGGGTGCAGTAACTGCAGTACTTTTTGTGCAATTTTTCAGTAAACCTTGTAGCATTTCTTGAGCTTTATAAGGCTAGGTACTCTCCAATTGAAATATGCAGGTTCTGTTTGCTGGACACTTTAGAGAGAGTTGATAAGCATTACACCTTGTGAAGTTGTCAGCTGCATGGATCAATTCACTCTCTTTCAGCTGTTTCCTTGGCTCAAGTATGAATCATTAATACTTGCCTAATACCTTTCTTTCAAATTGGAGAATCATTATTAAAATTTCTACCTGATTTCAGTAATTAGATCAATGTACATTTAGGATGTAGTGAGTTTTGTTTGTTTCAAAACCCATCCCTAAATATCTTCGGGCAAATTTACCCCCAAAATGTCACCACACACATATTTTGTGCTCTTTGAACCAAGGGTTGATCCCACCTACCTCTACTCCTGGGGTTGGCACTGTTGGCACTGCTGTTTTCCTGCTCGTCTCTCAACAAGGTGTGGAAGAATGTGTAGACGAGATCACACTGGAACAGACACAGCGATAGAGCATTCGTAACTACTCGTGTCATTCCGGCAAGCCGGATGGTGTCTCGTACCCCTCTAGTAGCCATGTTTACGACTGGGCCCTGTCTAAGCGTAAACGGGCATGGAGATGAAAATAGTCTAGTACTATTGCCAAGGAAAGATAGCTCTGAATTTCCAAACATGGCTCCCAGAATATCCTATATCCCGTGGGCAAAACAGCAATACAGTCATTCCCTTTGTAAATATATTAAAGTGTTTAAAGTTTCTGATCCTTTAGCTCAAAGTTTATGTTTAAATTGTGCTTTGCATAGTTTAGCGAAGTTTCAAACTTCAACGGTTCGGCCATTTTCATGCTTCGAAATGCGTTTTACTACGGGCGATTTGATTGGTTTGCCACGATTCTTGGCAATAATGGCGCACGATAGGGGTACGAGTCTTCTTGTAGGTCACGGAAAGAGGCTAGTAGTTACGAATGAGCGATAGAGTTGGTGAAACACTGTTTTACAGAACACTTCACATATATCACAACGTGTCCAACAAACTCAAAAATCAAAATATATTTAAAGACAAACACATATATTCAACTGACAAATTATCAAAATAACACAGGTTTGATTAAGTTTTGGGAATAATCAGACATAATCAGTTTAGAGAGTGAGGAATACAATGTGTTTTACCACTCATTCCTACATATATTTTGTGCTACTCCAAAGTGGTTCGGGTTTGTACATAATAGTAGAATACCTACGAACATCTCATATACCTCTCAAGAAGTGACCCAGGGTATTATTAACATGCATGGGATCTGAAAAAAAGAGGAGCTACGTTACCCCTCTTCCAATTTGCCATTGCCATTTTGTGTCATAAATGGTATAACATTCTTTACAAATGGTACCAAGAGTAAGGAATCAAACCCAACTCTTTGATAAAATCGAACTTTGTCAGAAGAAACACATTTGGTCTCTGCATTAACAGATGAGTGAAGTTTATAGAGTATTTCAGTATAGAGTGAGTAAGTTTAGTTTTACGCCACTTTCAGCAATATTCCAGCAATATCACGGAGGGGGACCCATGTGGGGAATCAAACCCGGGTCTTCGGTGTGATGACCGAACGTCTTAACCACTAGGCTACCCCAGTGCCCATTTCAGTATATAAGGTGTGTTAGTTTGCTTTGGAAGGAGCTGGATGGTGTTGTCAGACCAGGATTTGAACCCAGAATCACAGGTTGGTGGCATTGATGGAATAAGGTATGAGAAACTCAGTGTGCTTGTTTATTCCATCGTTTTGTGGGAGACGCTAAATTAAGCAGCTTGGAGGTAGTCCTTACCTCAGAAATTTCGGGTGCTTTTTGCCACAAAGCCTCCAGAAATTGACGTATCTCTACACCACGACTTTCTGCTACTGTTCTGATATTGCTTCGTCCCAGAACCATCCTAAACACAGAAGAATAATGAAGATGATTGCATGGTGGAACACATCACTAACAAACAATAATATCAAAATAATACAAGGCACAGGTCACAGTGAAGATCAAGGTCAGAATAGGGCTTGGGCAATCCATGCTTGTCGTAAGAGGCGACTGTGAGGTCTGGTTTGTTGACTTGGTTGATGTATCACACTGTATCCTAATTGTACAGGTCAATACTCAGGATCGCAATCTGAGTTAGTGAGTGAGTTTAGTTTTACACCGCATTCAGCAATATTCCAGCTATATGGCGGCGGTCTGTAAATAATCGAGTCTGGACCAGACAATCCCGTGATCAGCAGCATGAGCATCGATCTGCGCAATTGGGAATTGATGACATGTGTCAACCAACTCAGCGAGGCTGACCACCTGATCCCGTTAGTCGCCTCTTACGACCAGCATGGGTTACTGAGGATCAATATTCTAACCCGGACCTTCACGGATCTGATTACATACAGCTGGAGTTTATAGCCAGTATATTGCAGTATTAAACATCAAATCCAACATAACAAGCATGATGAAACACAACTTAGCCAAAAACAATCAGATAAACAAATAATGGGACATATGTTTTAATATATTGTTATTTGCATCGAAATTAACAAAATCCAACAAAACAAGAACTTCTACTTTATGTAAAATGACTGAACCAACACACTACATTGTGTTTGGCCACTGAAAACCTCTCCTTTTGGGAAAAAATGCTTGGTAATCTGCTGCAATGACACCAAACATGTTCATTAATGACTTCAGCGTGAGACGTAACAGTGGAGTTTACCTTGTGGAGAAGTTTGGCCACGTGACCAGTGAGAAGATGGATGCAAGTTTATCGCGGAACTCGACAAACTCCTGGAACAGCCGGTAGATGTGTGTGTGGACTCGCTCGTCCTGACGCTCAACAAGCAGCTTGTAGATCTGGCCAGGGAACAGTTGTTATTGCAGTAAATATCTAATACTTCTAAAAACTACAAAAGATGCAACGACCTTTAAATATCTGCAAATACTTGTAAATAATTATATAAGTAAATTGATACTAAATAATTGTGAATACTTGTCAATGTTGGCTGGCTGGCTGAGTATGGTTTTACGCAGCTTTTAGCAATGTTCCAGCAATATCACGGCGGGAGACACCAGAAATGGGCTTCGCAAGTTGTACCCATGTGGGGAATCGAACCCGGGTCTTTGGCGTGACGAGCGAACGCTTTAACCACTAGGCTACCCCACCGCCCCTGTCAATGTTGGGAAATATTTGGGAATATTCACATATCTGTACATATTTGTAACCTTTAAGACCTCCTGACCAAAAACTTTCGCCAAACATGCTTGAACTTACATAATGCTTTTCTGGTGTGTATCGTTTGTCGAAGTACACCAGCTCGACACGTAATATCTTCCCGTCAGTCTGCATGCTGAGGAGAACAAAGAAATCAGTGTACACACAGGACAGGCAAAGAGTTCATGATGTGGCTCGGTGGTCTTGGTAGGACCTTGGTAGGACCTTGGTAGGACCTTGGTAGGACCTTGGTAGGACCTTGGTAGGACCTTGGTACCTAAGGGACAGATTATGTTCTGAGAGTGCCTCTAGGCTGCAGATTTCAGGTGTCAAAAATCATGCTGGTCTGGCAGTCAAAGGCAACTACATTGTACTGGGACAATTAACTTGATTTTAGTGGTTCTTGTGCGAAATCCCTCTACTCTGTGGTTAATCACGCAATATTTTGTTCGATGACAATGCGACTAACCGTCATTTGTCAATGTCCATGACACTACAAGTTACTGATGTTTGTAGTACTCTCTGACAATACATATTTCTTCTAACACATGTTATATTTGGGATGACACTGTCTTAGTAAAGTACAGATTCTAGTACTTTTGTTGGGTTGAGTCCCCTCCGGAATTCGAACCCACACCCAGAGTCAGGCACCTAATCGCTAGCACACAAAGTCAGACGCCTAGACCGCTCAGCCACCGCTGGCGATTAGGACTCTGAGGGTGTGGGTTCGAATCCCGGATACTAGAATCTGTACTTTACTAAGAATGTGTAATCCTTATAATGTGTGTGGTGGCTCGTGGTCCTGTGCTCAAAGCTCAGGTCACAACTCAGTGAAGTTAAGCAGCGTCGAGCTCGGAGAGACCTTGGATGGGTGACCGTGTTTGGCAGCTTGACTCCTGAGAGTTTCTAGGACTTGAGTCCTGCCCCACAACGAAGCACATGTGACACATGTGGTCTCACCTTAGGCAAGTGAGTTTGTTCAAAATTGTCTCTGTTCACCCAGCAGGAAAATGGGTACCCTGTGGACAAAAAGTCATATGACTATAACCTTCTAGCGCCTAACAGGCAGCTTGGGTTATCCAGGGTAATAATGTGCTGTGCCTTGATTGTTAGCGCTATGAGCATACCTAGTGTGGAGTTTGGCGCTATATAAATGGACACATTATTATTATTATTAATCCCAAATATAACATATGTTACATTTGACCACTTTCTAAATGGCAATGTGTATTTCACATATTTCTTCTCACTTTCAGTCTACTGTTTTTGAAGTAATCTGGTTCTCACACAGTTTAAACAAGGAACTGATGCATATTTTATCTTGTCTCAAGATTGCACTGACCCACTGAAACAGAACACAAACGTCATAAGTAAGGTCACCCTGACTACAGCTTACACTTTATACTTTGTGTGACACGGAAAGTTTCCGTTATATCTGTACATTATCAAGGCGATGATGACAATGCAAACAGACAACACCAAATACATTAAACTAAAACTAAAACTATCAAGCTTCAACACTGAGCTGAAAGCCACTGAAACACCGAGACATAACATCAGGAAAGTAGTGTGTCGTAATCTCCTCAGTTCCTCCCCATTGCTGACCTGGAATTTGATATCAAACATGATTGATGGCATTAATCTCTTACTGGTTTCTCATCAACAGCTTCAGAAACAACTTGTAGCATACGACTCGTAGGAACAACAAAGAACATAATGACTTTGTTTTTTGTGTTGTTTTTAAGTTGCATACAACACGTGAGATTCTCCTTTATTACCCACGAGGTCAAGGTATTGGTAGTTGCATACTAATCTCGTACGTCACACGAGTGTCGTATCACGTGGACCTGTGTTGTAACGACTTGACCTCAGATTCAAACGATTTGATTGGATAACCGATGACCTCTCAATTAGGTCACATTCTGAACTATTTTTCCATTATACCGTGAATTCATTCGAAAAACTTAAGTCGAACTGAGACATTATAATGTTTCCACCAGTGATGTTAGGAGAATGAAGCAACTGGAAACCAAGAAACGAGGTGCTAGGGAGTAGTTTACTGTAGGAGGCTGTACGAGGCGATGACAACTGACATGCATCGTGACGTCGGTTACCAAGGCAGTGATGTCATTACAGTGTGACATCATGCAAATATTGTACTACAATACAAAACTTCCGGAACATCTTTATGAAACCGGTTTCAGTTTGAACCAAAAACATAACAAAAATATGCTGACCTCGGTCAGATACCATAGGAAGGACACTCGTCATTACATATTGAATTATAATTCTTCCTATGTTATGTAATGACACAATGATAATTCGTGTAGTATTCTCCTGTATGACATGGCAACATGGAATCGTCAAGCAACAAAAAGAACTTGGCATTACTGTCAGTATACTTGCAGTCACTAAAAAGAAAGAAAACAAAGGATAAATGGTTGTGGGTTTGCGACTTGATTCTTGGACGAAACACTGTTCAGTTTTTTCTCTGGTACGATTAAGTTTCTGTAGTCTGGACTCTAACTTGATGTCAACAGAAACAAAGGGATGTCACTCTGAGGTGGATACAGATATAAGCGATTTGACTGGTTGAGAGCCTCTTACTTGTGGTATGAATTAGAAAAGTCTTATGTCTTACAACTCGGATGCAACTGGTTGAATGCGATGTAAAATTGTTACAATTAGGGTGTTTGATGGGGATGCCATGATACATCGATGCATCACTACTTTTTCTAAGACGATATAATTATCGATACATTCAAAACTGTATCGATATTTAGTTTTGAAAGTATCCGTTTAAATATGTTTATGTATCGTTTACATTTTGCAAATGTATCACGTTTTTTTATGTAATGAGAGTTATAAATCACTGTTTTTCATGCACAAAGATGGGAAATTAAACCTTTTTAATCTCTGAGAATAAAAAATGTTGATCTTTTCATTGACAATTATAAAATATGAAATATGAATGTCTTTTCGCGGCATTTAGAAGTTGTATATAGACATCCAAGATATTTTTTTTATGGATTTAAGCTTAAATGACATGAAAAATTAATGTTCAAAATGTAACTAAATTTACGCAATAATGCCGTGAAAATAGGTATCGTGATAAGTATCAAATCATGACATGGGTATCGTGATACGTATCGATTCATGAAACCTACCCATCGTGACATCCCTAGACTGTTTGGCGTTGCTGCTGTGTCGCATACTACAAGTTGTTACTACAAGTCGTAGCTTTATGTGCATTCACTGTATTGCTTACCTGTATGTTTTGGGCACAAAGGACAGCAGCGCCCCCTCCTGGTGAGACGAGAACTTGAGTTGAGCGAGATTGTGGATGAAGAAGTTGAACTGTGTGAACACCGACTTGAGGCTCTCTTCTATCATCCTGCAATGAACATCGGGGTGAACCAGGTGGTCAACATCATTTGGCATCACTTAAATATTCAGTCCTCATAGCGATCTAAGGTTTCGGAGATCGTATCTCCCATAGTTTAACATAGGCTAATGAAGGTTGTGCCATTAAGTTGGTGGTAAACATGTCTCTTTTCCTAAATACCTGTGAAGATCAGAGTTAGAAATGATCTTCAGCAGCCCATGCTTGTCGTAAGAGGCAACTAACAGGATCGGGTGGTCAGGCTCACTGACTATGTTCATGCTCTGACCACCCGATCCCGTTAGCTTGCCTCTTACGACAAGCATGGGTTCTTGAAGATCAATATTCCATCCCGGACCTTCAGGGTTGAATTGGTCTTCAGTAACCCATGCTTGTCGTAAGAGGCGACTAACGGGATTGGGTGGTCGGGCTCGCTGACTTGGTTGACACATGTCATCGTATCCCAATTGCGCAGATCGATGCTCATGATGTCAGTCACTGGATTGTCTGGTCCAGACTCGATTATTTACAGACTGCCGCCATATAGCTGGAATACTGCTGAGTGCCGCATTAAACAATAACTTTTCTTTAATACTCAATTATACTGACTGACTGTTTAGTTTTACGCCCGCTTTTAGCAATATTCCAGCAATATCACGGCGGGGGACACCAGAAATGGGCTTAACACATTGTGCCCATGTAGGGAATTGAACCCGGGTCTTCGGGCGTGACGACAATAACGCTTTAACCACTTTACCCCACCGCCCATACTCAATTATAAAAATGCGGGGTTAAGAAAAATACAACACGTGTAACACGCGACACTTTCTCCTGTTATAATGATTTAACAATCTCTAGAAATGATTGGAGAACAGGTGAAACAAAAAACAAAATGGAACGGAAAAAAAGAATAAATCATAAAGTTAAGTGTGCTTTGGTCCCATACTGAGTTTTTTACTGCATTTAAGACTCATAACATGTTTGTTAATATTTGAGTCAATAACGTAAGTATAAGCACAGTAAGAGGACAGAATCAATGTCAAGGTTACCTTGTAAACAAAGCAGCCGCCTGAGCGTCAGATTGTCCAGGAAGCAACGTCTGTCTCACATACGCTGCTGCCCTCTCCGACACCCCCGGTATACCGGACCTCGCCATCTGGGGACAATAAACAACACTTCAGGAAACAGATTCAAAATAACAGACACTTTTGGTAACTGCAAGACATTTATATGGCAAAAATGAAAGAATCATTATGACAAAATCTTTGAAGATCCGGGTTAGAATTGGTCTTCATGCTGATATTGTCCCAGGGTTCATATTTCTGAAAACAGGACTAGCCTTTCTTCCCAGGGATCAAAGATCCGTGTAATCAAAAGCACTGCCAGATGACCAACATCAGCACGCAGCGAAAGAAGTCTCCTATGTAGGATGGGACCCTCTATTATCGCGGTAGTTAATGTTGTCGCCATCGGGATTATGAACGGCTACTGACATTTAGCATTTTATATATATTTTCAGTTGACTGATGTTCAATCTTCACTTCTGTCACAAATAATGTGACACATAGTCGCAACTCGTTTAATACCATTGCGGCAATTCCGATTGTCTCGTTTGACCCGGTAACTGAAGCAACTCTCTATTATCGCGGTATTGCTATTTTCTTACTATGGCACGCGGTACAAGCAGATGACACTGTGAAACGTTTACTTAGACAAGTAACTAATCTAAATAGTTTGATCATTAAAAATATTTAGGAATTTCATTCACATTAGTAATATCATCATGCTTTTAACCCAAACATCAGAAACTTCTATTCATTTGGATACAAGGTAACAATAACGCTACAAAATATTGTTTTTCCTCGCTTAAAACGCATTACCATACAAGTAAGCTGCCGTGTGCAGAGTGAAGTTGCATAATACGCCACTTCCTGTTATATTTTTAGCACGGAAAATATGCAAATGACCTTAAAGTTGTCGCAGGATTGCTCTTGATGAAGTAAGATTTGATTCATGCTAGATGTAAGGGCAGTAGGGGTCATACTAGTTTCAAAATGTTCTAGAACTTACTGAAAAGATGAATGCTTTAATATTTTTCCGATTACACATAACATTCCAATGAAATAAATGACTTTTTCAAGAGCGATGAATATATTTTCCGTAATTTGCATATGTAAACAGCCGATGCGGGGCGTGGTGTTTCTGCTTTCCCGATGTTATTGCATGACGCGATAATAGAGAGCCCGCGATAATAGAGAGTCCCAGTATACTGTCCAGGACCTCTGATTCTATGTAGCAGCAACACAACTACAACAGAGATCTGCCCTGTGAAGATCCGGGTTAGAATTGATCTTCAGTAACCCATGCTTGTTGTACGAGGCGACTAACGGGATTAGGTAGTCAGGCTCGCTGACATGGTTGACACATGTCATCGTATCCCAATTGTGTAGATTGATGCTCGTGATGTTGATCACTGGATTGTCTGGTCCAGACTCGATTATTTACAGATCGCCCCCATATAGCTGAAGTATTGCTGTGCGAGGCATTAAACAACAAACAAACAAACAAACAGAGATCTTGGAAGCATTTCGTCATTTCATGTATCCCAACCTCAGATTATTACAGTATCACAATAACTTCCATTCCATCTCCGTGAGATACAGAAATCAAACATGCTGCTGAGAATGTTTTGCCCGTTCTCACAAAACCTTTTAAAGCTGTGATACTGATTGGCCCTAAAGTTCACAGATTGACTCATTTTGAGGGACAGTCACACTTCACACACTGAGGCATGGCAAGAGAAAAACATTGATTTTTTTTATGATGTTGACTAAAACTGAATTGTCCTTGACATCTTGATATCAACGCTTGCACTGACCATGACAAAGAGACTGTGGAAGAGGTCTGCGTGTTTCCCGGAGAATATTGAAGGCCTTGCAACACAGGTCAACAAATCTCTGGAAGCGATCACGTCTCCGCCCACCGTCGTTAATCACAAACGCCATGTCTGACGTCAACACAAATGGAACTCGATCTCTGCAAGTAAAATATTCACGTAAATACATAAAGTGATAATTATCATAAAATATTCAAAAGAAATTGTTACCATACATAAGCATTTCAGCAAATACTCGCATTGTACATTTTTTATTCTTTACATATGACATTTATGATATGCATCCATACTCAGCTAATAATCTCTTTTCATCATGGCTACATTTGAGCCCAATTTATGCTCAACTTATATGCCTCTGGTTATCAGTTATTCGGTACCAGAAGGAGTTAACAGTAATGTGTAAATTGACCTTCTGGCACCTCATAATGCAGCTTCAGTAGCATCCTTCCAAGGGAGCTGAGAACATAGTTCAAGGTCACCCTCATCCAATGACAGGGCTAATAATGTATGTTCTGAGCCTGCTCACGGGTGTGGATATAGTGCGTTATAGCAGGGGTGGAAATAACCCATTGCCTGACGTCCGAGTCCAGTGTTTTTTTCTGTCGGGCAAGCAAATTTGTATATCACATTGTACCGGTGTCCAGTTGACTTTCCAATGTTAATTATGTTGTTTATTTAAAAAATCAGCAGGAAAACGGTCGGTATAGTGGAAAAATTATCAGGGCAAGTGACATTACATGTGCCACTGTACCGGGAGTACACTATCAATTTTAAAGTTATTTCCACCCCTGAATAGATATGCACATTGTCGTAAATAATCTCCATTTCTCACCTCTTAAAGCTACCAAACATCTGTGTGTCTCCTAGAAACTTGCTGAAGTCTATATGGAACATGTGCCCTGACTGTTTCAACATGATGTTGTCGTTGTGGCGGTCCCCGATGCCGAGGACGTACGTCGCCACACAGTAACCCGCACAGGAACATGAGAAGTTGTCCACAGCCTACACAGGAAACAGACATCATGTACTTCCAACAAACATACGCTGAATATCACAGTCTGTGGGATCTTATTGGTTTTATTAGGGAAATAAATCTCTCAGTCAACATCCAACAATAATTCACACAACACATCATCTCGTTATGGACCTGTGAAGATTCAGGCTAGAATTGTTCTTCAGTAACCCATGCTTGTGCTCTTCAAGATTTAACACTCGTTTTGCTATACCAAAATTCCCATTAAGTCTATGAAGCCTTGAAACTATCCCCTGTTCTATAAGAGCAACCGCAGAGCCATGAAATGTCACTACCAAACACCATCATGCTTTCCAGCAGACGAAAGTCAATATTGATCACTTGAAAGGTCAATACTGATCCTATGATATCAGTCAGTCAATATTTCAAGGTCAGTATCAGATAAATTAATTGCAAGATTCTTTACACGGTATGACAATGTCTGACAATTCTTTACACAGTATGACAATGTCTGACAATTCTTTACACAGTATGACAATGTCTGACAATTCTTTACACGGTATGACAATGTCTGACAATTCTTTACACAGTATGACAATGTCTGACAATTCTTTACACAGTATAACAATGTCTGACAATTCTTTACACAGTATGACAATGTCTGACAATTCCTTACACAGTATGACAATGTCTGACAATTCTTTACACAGTATGACAATGTCTGACAATTCTTTACACAGTATGACAATGTCTGACAATTCTTTACACAGTATGACAATGTCTGACGATTCTTTACCTTCTGATACTCCAGCTCTGTGGGGTTGTGTTTCTGAAGCCACTCTTTGATTGGTCGCTCTTTGAAAGACCCAGTCACACCGTAAGACACCTGGATCTTGCGTAGCGTCTCAGCCTCCGTCACCAGCTCGATGATCCCTGCACAACACAAGCACATCTTACGTAACAGTCTCACACTGACCATCTCAATCACCCTATTCCTAAATCCACATCAGTGTGATGAATTTGTGAGAAAGACTCCATTTCCAATTAGAAAAGCCGAAAGTTCAGTGAAAAAATATCTCATTAATGAAGTTTCTTTTATTCCAAAACTGATAGTTACATCATGCTAATCTGGAAATACTTCTTTCCAGAATTAATCTCTGTCAATTATAAATTTGTAAATCTCAAATAACTTTACTGCAAAGTACAGAGCTGGTTAATGATGTCTAATGGTTTAAAAGGATGTTCCACTTTCATCATGTACCTTTCTTTGGCCCTGTTGCCAGACAGGAGAATGTGATCATACGAAGGTCAAGGCCATCTTTGAGCCAGAGTCTGTCCATGATCTGGATCATCTGCAGTGTCAACATGTCCTGGCGAATGTCGTCTCCCACCTGTGGAGGATCAAACAGGGATGTTTTACAGGTGGTAATGCCCTTTTCTTAGCACTAGCCCACTAAGACACCATGCAACAGTTTAACATGGACAATCAACACACAGTATACTGATGCATATGAATCTGTGGCAGGTGGATGCTGGAAAATGTGATGGAGGTGGTAGCTAATGCAACCAATCATGCTGAATCCAGGATTCAAACTCAACCAGCAGATATGGTGCTGGTGCCAAACCATATGGATCCCAGACATTAAGGCATGAATCCAGGATTCAAACTCAGATTGCAGCAGATCCGATGGTTTGCTGGTGACCAACTGCACATAGAATCTTTTGAAGACGGTGTTACCCAGAACATTAGATCGGTGTTACCTTGAACATGAATAGACGGTGTTACCTTAGCATGACATAAGTTATTGCTTTGACATAGACCTACCTTGAACATGACATAGACGGTGTTACATTGAACATGACATAGACCAGTTACCTTGAAGCTACATAGACGGTCTACCTTGAAATGACGGTGTTACCTTGAACATGACATAGACGGTGTTACCTTGACTTGACATGTTCGAAGTTCTTGAACATGACATAGACGGTGTTACCTTGAACATGACATAGGAGGTCAGACTTGGTGTTGGAGTTCTTGAACACCAGTTTGAGCGGAACGCATTGCAAGTGAACACAAGTTAAAACATATATTCTTTGGAACACAAGTCAGAAATATTGGTTTGAAGATTGTAGTAAATCTATGCATTGAAGATTGGTAGTGCATGAGAGTAACATGTGATGCTGCATCTACTGTATCAATGATAAAGACTGACTGACTGAGTTTGGTTGAAGCTGGTTAGAATAGCAATATTCAGTAACAATATTGTCGCAAGAGGGGACACCAGATCGGTGGTCAGGCTCGCTGATTGTACATGTCATCGGGGGATTGGCGCAGATTGATGCTCATGCTGCTGCTGAGCCAGGATTGTCTGGTAACCACTAGATTATTTACAGAACCGCCATACTGCTGGAATATTGCTGAAAGTGAAAATTAAATCACCATGTTCTTAAAATCATATTGATAAATTCTTTCAGAAGATTAGCTCAGATAATCTGATAAATACCAAGATAGTCCTAAGATTAACAAACCTATTATGATCAGTCTGTGAACTTCCATCTCCACTCACCTTTATGTCAATGCCACACACTTCTAGACTAGGGTTGTAAGGCAAGAGTAGCCTCCCTTTATCTTCAAACAGGTCATAGACTGTTTGCAGTTCACGTTTCAATGTTGTCTGGAAATGAATACATGTCTTATTTAAACAAACTATTTATAATTCCTAGACAGAGGTCAGACATTTGTAAACACATGTAGTTATTTTGTTCATCTCATTCCATCCCCATCCTCTAAGTGATGGAAGTGGAAGTAATCTTATGCTGGATTCTGACAAACTGTGGGGCTTGAATTTATTGAGCATTAATCCACATCAGGCACAACAACATAGAGTCAGCCATATTGTTGGCTCTGATAATCTGTTCTGGCCTGACAGAATCAACACATGGCTCAAATAGCCATCTGTGTCAAAGTCTTAATCAGGTGTGAACATGGTAGAATGTGAGACGGAGGTGTGGAGAGAAAACATGATGCATTATGGGTAGAAGTGGGGAACACAGTATACAGTGTCAGTTGTGTTATGTGCAGACCACAAAATGTGGTGCAGTGTTGCTTATGCAGTGTGCAGTGCACCAAGTGCAAGGTGGTGCATGGTGTTTGCATTGCAGCTTGTGCAGTGTGGTGTATTCTGTGCCATACCATAGCGGTTTTCCTGCGTTCAAAGCAGATGACCAGGATTCAGATAAATGATCACAGTTCTAGAAACAAATGTCAAAAACATTTAAGAAGACCCACTCACATCTTTGTCTTTGGCCTTCTGGACCTTCACTGCTGTTTCTGACAGTGTCCAGACAAGATGTTCCTGTTTCTTAAACTCCCTGTAGAGGGCGTCACCAGCCACACTGGCCAGAGCGACGAACATCAGCTCATATCGGCGCTTGAACATTGGATCGAGCGCAGCAGCACCCTTCAGCAGCCTTCAGAGAGAAGGAAGACATGGAAAGACACATATCTACAGCTTCTCATCACATCGTGACATGACAATAATATTTTCTTTGAGAGGCATTTTAGAAGTTGTGAAGATGAAGGAAAACTGAATTCTATGGATAGTCAACTTCTTTATTGCAATGAGTGTGACGTTTCGGTGTAGGTACTAACACCGTTATCAAGCAAGTGTTAGATAGATAACACATGCTTGATAACGGTGTTAGTACCTACACCGAAACGTCGCACTCATTGCAAAAAAGCTGTTCACTATCCATAGAAATCAGTTTTCCTTCATGACAATAATAGTGAGTGATTTACTATTTCAACTCAAGCTATATTGGCCAAAATTGGTTCAAACACAATGTTCCAGCAGAAAAATCTAAATGTTTCTCAATAAAGTTAAGCAGACGGCAGGATAGAACTTTCAAGTCACTTCATGTTGTGACCAGTTCAAAAACAAATGGTAATCTTTTGTCCTATATTCATAAAGGTTTTGCAACAAGACTGATCAGCTAACAGGGTAGAATTTTCTTCCACTTACCAGAAGAATTGATGGGCAAATCGAATACTCTTGCATGACTGTTCTAAGAGCAATCGGGCAAGAGATGAATTGTGGTAGCTCTCAAACTTCAGAGCCTGAAAGCCAAACCCAAACAGGAGATCACAGTTGATGAAACTGTAGAATGCAGCTCATGAATATTCATGACAGGAACATCAGTTGCCATGGTTACACAAGGGTATAACATGTCACATGCAGGTGTAGAGGTGACAACAGTTACCATGGTTACACAAACATTTTGAGAATCTCCCTCTGCACAGATCAGGAGCAGATCAAGATCGGTACAGAAGTACTGAAACTTGTTTAGCAGGGGCAGATCCCCTCTCCCCAAAAAATTCCCCTAACCTTTGGACTTCAAGATTTATGTGTGCCTCATCCAGCAAGTGTTGCTTGAGACCTAGTCGAATTAATAGTCGAACCAATGACCCCCATGATGTCAATGTTGTGTGAAGAATAGTCTTTACCTGAATGAGTTGTGTGAAGAATAGTCTTTACCTGAATGAGTTGTGTGAAGAATAGTCTTTACCTGAATGAGTTGTGTGAAGAATAGTCTTTACCTGAATGAGTTGTGTGAAGAATAGTCTTTACCTGAATGAGTTGTGTGAAGAATAGTCTTTACCTGAATGAGTTGTGTGAAGAATAGTCTTTACCTGAATGAGTTGTGTGAAGAATAGTCTTTACCTGAATGAGTTGTGTGAAGAATAGTCTTTACCTGAATGAGTTGTGGGAGGAAGTCGATCAGATTATCAGTTGGAATCTTGTTTAGACTATCGACAGAAAACTCTCTCACTCGGAGATCAGGGAACCTGAAAAAGAAGAAAGTAGATCGATATTGTGGACAAACTCAGAATTTTCACCAGAATTATAACTTAATGTACTGAGATTTTTGTTCCCAAAGTGAGTCAGTGATTGCTGACTCTGTTATTGACAGTATTTCAGTTGTATCAAGGTGTGTCAGCTTGAGGGGAGGAAGCAGATTGTAGGTTCTACCCCTCTTGGGAATCAAATCGAACATTTGCAGTGCTAGAAACAAACAATCATCAGCCCAAAATCTGGGATTCAAACCCAGGATCAGCAGATCCCCGCATGGTTAAGTGTACAACAAGTGGTGAATAGAGTGAATTTGATTCAGTGTAGCACTCAAACAAGCTGGGGCAGTCTAATAATGAGAGGAAGAACATAAAGGAGGAAGGTAATAATATTTCTACCCCTTTCAAAACCCACATGGGTCTAGTGTAGACAAAGCATCTTAAGACATTAAAACCACAATCATCAAATCCTTGCATGTTTAAGGGAGGCAACTCTGCTAAGCAAATTGTAAAACTGCAGATTTGAATGAAAATGAAACATATCTAAAACTTAACCCCCCACTGCGTGGAGTTCCTCCCGTGGCGCATGCGCACTCAACTGGGTAAGCACCTAGGCCTGTATCATCATTCCTTCTGCTGAATAAATCAGTGAACAGAATTGCGGGGAGGCGGGAGGCCCTACCCCAAGGAAGACTCTCTTCAAAGAATTGAAAACCTCTTCAGGTTTGGTTAATTCTTTTTCATAGAGATCGTCCTTGGGGTACATATTATGCATAAACACAGACTCCCAAAGACCGGAGGCCAGGGAGGAGGGAATTCTGTCCAAGCATATACAAATAGCAATCGCTAATTGAATAATGTAACAGACGCCATAATCACTCACCTGTCACATGTCCCAGTTTGCGCTTCCGCGAGAGGCATTATGGGAGGGGAACTGACAGGGAGGAAATGCACTCATAGACGACCTCGTAGGTTCGCATAAGAATTCGCACATGGTGCGAAATGTAAACAAACCCCCACCCACCTTGTGTCGATTAGAGAGCACCGGAGGGGGGAATTTAAAAACGCTCACTACCGACCTATATTCTCCGTAGAGGATCGAAATGAGGTTAAGCGCCCAGCAGCGGATATGTCAATAAAAACACAGTATTGAACAGCAGCGTCAACAAAACCAATGAACCAAGACTCACTCGGTCAGGGTGGCAGGACACTGTCCACTGGAGAGAACAGAATGGCCAAAGCTTCGCCACGACACGGAATGTGTATCGAGCTGATAGTGCCGAATAAACGCGCTAGGAGCGGCTCCAAATAGCGGCAGAGCAGATCTCTTCAATGGGGAGTGCCGATCCAAAAGCTTTGATGCGGCTACTGCCCTGACCCGAGTGAGCCTTCAACCCCTCAGGGGGAGGCTTGCCCTTAGCCTGATACGCAGCACAAATAGTCGAAACTAGCCAGCGAGACAAAGTCTGCTTGCTCACCGGCAGCCCAGCCTTCCCGCCACCGTAACAGCAGAACAGATGGGTACCCGTACGGATCCCCTGAGTTCGTTTGAGATAGACCTTGAGTGTCTTACGGACATCCAATGGGTGAGTGCTCGTTGCAGAGGTCCCCTATGTGGAAGGCTGGGTAAGAGTGGGAAGTTCGATAGGAGCTGTCACATGGAAAGCGTGATCGACCTTCGGGCTGTAAGTATCCGGGAGGCGAATACTGACACGATCAGTGTGAAACACAGTCAGCGCCGGGTCGGACGACATAGCATGTAAATCGCCGACCCTACGACCAGATGTTACCGCCACCAGAAATACAGCCTTCCAAGCTAACAACTGAATGGAAATAGCCAATAGGTGTGAGAAAGTGGGACCGGACAGCGAATCGAGCACAATTGACAAATCCCAAGGTGGGCTGGTTCGGCTGACAGCAGGTCTAACCCAATCCGAGCCAGCTAAAAAGCGCTGTACGAGAGGGTGCTGCCCCAGAAGAGCACCATCGACAGGGTGTGAAAGGTGGAAATAGCGTTGGAGTAGCCACGAATGGTCCGAAGCCGCCAGGCCTTCTTCCAAGCGGGCTTGCAAAACTCCAATACTCGGACTAAATCCGCCAGAAAAGGGATCTGCAATCCCCCTATCTGAACACCAGCGCGCATGGCGGGACAACCTATCCTCATACTGAACGTTTGGTCGAATCCGCCTCGAAGCCAGAATTGTGTCTGCAACTGCTGCAGGAATTCAAGCGTGCTTCAAGGCTAGACCTGACAGAGGCCAAGCCACCCACACTGAATCCTTGGATTGGGGTGGGCGCCCGTTCTGAGTGAGAATGTCCGGTCGCCAAGGTAATAGAACAGGAGGCTGAGCCAGAAACCTGCGAATTACCGGAAACCAGCTCTGTGACGGCCAAAGCGGTGCCAGTAGCACAAGCAGCTGAGCTGGCTGGGTGGACAGCTGTGAGAGGACACGGGGAATGAGTACGGGGCCCAGAGCACTTTGCCTGTCCAATCCAGCAGGAAGGCGTCGGCAGCCAACGCCCTCGGGTCCGGTATTCGAGAGCAGAACACGGGTGTCTGACTCGTCCCGCCGGATGCACACAGATCCACCTGGAACGACCCGTACAACTGGGAGATAACTCCGAATATCTGCCGGTCGAGCATCCACTCTTGCGGGGCCAGGATCCGGCGAGAGAGAGCGTCTGCTCGCACGTTCTCCAGCCCCGGGAGATAAACAGTGAGTACCTGACAATCGCGACTGGTCGCACCAGAGGAGAAAGTCCCATGTCTCCGGAGGCCTTCCGGGACACCCGTGTCGCCTTGCTTCAGGATGTATGACATGGCCGTCTGGTTGTCCAACTGAAGACGAACCACCTGGCCCTGGACATGCTCTCGGAAGCGTTCGAAAACCAACCACACAGCTCTCAGTTCCAACACGTTGATGTGAAGGTGGGCTTCGGCCTCGGACCAGATTCCAGACACCGACAGACTGCCCAGAACACCCCCCCAACCGTGAGGGACGCATCGGTCTGAACTGTAAGAGCTGGCGTCGGGATTTCCAAGGGGACACCCCTGGTGAGATTCCCGACATTGGTCCACCACTGAAGGTGAGGAGACAACCACCCGGGGACTGTGAGACTCCGCTCCAGGTCCTCCGCTCCAGGTCCTGCGAGTGAGCCCACAGACTCGCCAAAGCTTGCTGTATAGGGCGCATCCTCAACCGCGCCCGCCACACTACAGAGATCGTCGCCGCCATATGGCCCAGTAGACGGAGCCAAGTCCGTGCTGGTGCCTGGGGCTGGGAGAGGAACGAAGACACCATCTCCCGTACTCTGGTGACCCGGTCGGGCGACAAGGAAACAAGATCCTTGTGTGTTTGGAACCTCGTCCCGAGAAAAACCAAGTCCTGGGTGGATACCAGGTCGGATTTCTTGAGGTTGATGATCCATCCCAGTCGAACTAGAATGTCTATCACCCTGTGAGTAGAATCTAGGCTCGCTGGCTGTGTTAGTGCACCGAGCAACCAGTCGTCGAGGTAAGGGTCACAACGCCTTTCTTGCGAGCGAGCGAGGGTAGCCGGGACTAACATGAGCTTGGTGAACACCCTGGGGGCAGTGGATATGCTGAAGGGGAGCACCTTGAATTGGTAATTCATCCCGTCGTAAGAGAACCGAAGGTACTGCTTGAACGATGGATGTATAGGCACATGTAGATACGCATCCTTTAGGTCGATTGACGTGAGCCAATCCCGCCTGTTCCTCGCCCGGTGGAATGCGCTCGATAGCGGACTTGTCCAGCAAAGCCTGGACTTCGTCGCGCAGTATGTCCGCCTGACATGACGGCACCGGATTGCGGCGTATGCCGGTGAAGTCTGGCAGACCTCGCTTCCACAGTGGTAAATGGCCAACACTGACGGTGGACAGCACCCAAGTGTTGTTTGTAGCCTTCTCCCACTCCGGCAGGAATTGAGAGAGGCGGCCGCCCACTGGGACGTTGGGTAAGAGAGCGTGAGTGGTCTCGAGTAGCGGAGCTGACTGGGAGGGACACACGGCTTGGTCTACAGCCTGATGGGTTAACGGGAGGTCGGGGCAGACCTCCCGAGCCCGCGAAAAGGCTGGGAGCCAGTCGAAGAGGACTGCTTTTTGCCCTTACCCTTGGCGGAACGGCTCCTCCGTCTACCCCTGCCTAGCGGCCGAGGCCAGCCAGCAGACTCAGGTGTAGGCTGCACCCCGGCGGAGGAAGTCGGAACGGGAGCGCGGGGGCGAGAAGCCCGCGGGTGCTCCAACAAGGCCTTGGAGTCCTTGAAGGAGGTAGCTGCAGCGGCAGCCTCCCGGATGACCTGCTGTGCCCCAGGAAACAACGTCATTCCCAGACAGTAGGGGAGGGCCAGCAAGGTCTGCTGTGTCGCTGCCGAGTACCGAGACGTTGACAGCCACAGCTTGCGCATCCCCATGACTGCGCACATCACCGTCGACGCAGCCGACCGCAAAGAGTTGTGCGCAAAGAGGTGTGCCTGGACTTCGGATAATTGACGGAGCAGAACGACATGCGGAGAAACGTCTCCAGCGTGCCCCTCCGGCTCCAGGGCCGACCTCTGTATCGAGGAGAGGTAGGCCTCATGGACCGCACCTGCTGCATAGCGTTCCGGTAGACCTCCTCGTAGGTCCGGTACGCATGCAGCAGGGGGGCGCCCGCGAGGGCAAAAGGTGGTGTCAAACGCCCTTGCCTGGCAGCTGGAGCTGCTCCGGAGGAAGCCCAGCCTCCCCCCAGGGCGACCGAAGTGAAAACACATTCGTCGATCATTGGTACAGCGAACTGGGAATCTTCCCCCAGCTGGTACCTCCGGACAAGCTCAGGCAAGTCGAAACGGAGGCGAGACCCAGACAGGAGGGGATCGAGCACGTCCTGCACCAAGGACGGCAGAATGCGGAGCAGCGTCTTCGTAGGCTGCTGAGGGGCAAACGCCTCGCCTGGCAGGCGGAACTCAGTCGAGTCCGAGCGACTGGTAGGCACCGCGGCCTGGGGAAGGAACTCGGCAATGCGCTGCCGGACTTCCCTCAGAGCTGACGAAAAACGGAAGGCACCCTCAACCCTCAACCTCCCCGAGCCCGACTCCAAGGCTGGGTCTCCTCGTGAAGAGGACCCGAACCCCGACCCGGTGGGCGGCCTAGCACTAGGCACAGAGGAGAGGGAAGAACAGACAGAGCGCCCCGCGTCAGCACCTGCCATCACGCACGAACCCCGGTCCTGAGACGCTGGAGGCAGACCAGGCAGAACTGGTGCCTCCGCTCTCATGGGGCGGGACGGCGCAGGGACCGGAACCCCAGGAATCCTCAACGGACCCTACGCCAACTCCGAGAGGGGAACTGGGAGCGAAGCCTCCCCCTTCGGGGCAGCCAAAGGTGTCCGGACCCGAAGCCAGAGGCAACGGATCGATAGACGCCTCCAGGCCGAGGGATGGAGCCGGGCTCGGCGATCCCACCCCCAGACTCTCCGGCCCCTGCTCCGAGTGGGCGAGGAACTCCTGGCGGAGACCTCCAACCGACTCGTGAACAAGGGACTTCACCGAGTTCATGTGCTGCTGGAATAACTGAGTAATCAGAGACATATCAAATCCGCTACTAGGAGCAGGTGTAGGCGCCGTACTACGTGCTTTAGCTTTTTTTCCCTTTACTTTTAGGCTTTTTTGCTTTTGACGGGGGGACCTGGGTCAATTCCCCTCCCGCCTCACGCATCTCCCTATAGAAGAGGAAGTCGGCCGCCCGTCTCTTCTGGGCCCGGGGGGAGAAACCCAAACAGATTTCGCAAGTATCTGGTGTATGGCCGGTTTTCTCAAGGCACACAATACACATAACATGTCGGTCAGCCCGAGGGATACTTTGCCCGCAGTCCGAACATGAAGAAAACGCCTGAAAGCAAACACGCAAGCATGTAGCTAACAGGGTACCAGCAGCCTAAGATACACGTAGAAAACATTGAAAAATACGTGAATGCGACCACGGGAAGAAATAGTTGGTTCAATACGCAATATTACAACCATGTGGCACGCTAAACTTCCCGCCATGGAAGAGCATTTTACATGTGCGTAAACCACGGGAAAGTGCTAGCGTAAATTTTATAATTAATACAAAGTCACAATTATGAAACAACCGACCGCAAAGCTTTACTGTTCCGTTCAAGGACAGAATAAAGACCATACATACAGGTGGCGTCTCAGACATTATCTTTCTCTTTATCTCACAAGAGGTCAGCTCTGCACGACACATGCGACTTGTCTTGGCAGTGACAGCAGAAGGAATGATGATACAGGCCTAGGTGCTTACCCAGTTGGTACGCATGCGTAACGGGAGGTAACTCCACGAGGTGGGGGCCGTATAATAAATAAAAAGATTTTTATTTATTGTACAATATTTTTATTCAAAAACATTGATACAACTGTCACAGGACATTTTCAGCTCGGAAAATGCATAATATGTACCCCAAGGACGATCTCTATGAAAAAGAAATAACTGGTTTGCATGAGATACCCTACTCAAAAGTAGTTAAGGACGGGATGATTCTACCACCACTGATTAACTACAGTAACATGAAGAATTCCGACTATCCTTAACTTGCTTTGTGTAGTATACATCAGGACACTTCTGGGATACTCACTGGGGCAGCAGCAACTCAAACGACTGCATGGCCTGCACCGGGGGCCAAGACTGGAGGAGGGCGTAGGTGTCAGCCAGACACGCCCAGTCCCAGCTATGGGCCGCCTGCAGGATCCGAGGCAGCAGCTCGGGACGCTCGTGTAGGTAGGTGCGGTATGTCCATAGGATCTCCATCTCTTCTGCGGCGTATCTGCATCATGGCAAGAAGATGATAACACAAAGTTAGACGTTATTGGCAATATCTGAGACAAGGGTCTGAATCCACTTGCAAAAAGGGATCTTAGAGCTAAGACAGGTTGTAACTCCAATACTTATAGACTTATGAAAGTCTTAGTGCTAAGACGGTTGTAACTCCCATACTTATAGACTTATGAAAGTCTTAGTGCTAAGACGGTTGTAACTCCCATACTTATAGATTTATGAAAGTCTGAGTGCTAAGACGGTTGTAACACCCATACTTATAGACTTATGAAAGTCTTAGTGCTAAGATGGTTGTAACTCCCATACTTATAGACTTATGAAAGTCTGAGTGCTAAGACGGTTGTAACTCCCATACTTATAGACTTATGAAAGTCTGAGTGCTAAGACGGTTGTAACTCCCTTACTTATAGACTTATGAAAGTCTTAGTGCTAAGACGGTTGTAACTCCCATACTTATAGACTTATGAAAGTCTTAGCACTAAGACGGTTGTAACACCCATACTTATAGACTTATGAAAGTCTTAGCACTAAGACGGTTGTAACTCCCATTAGTGCTAAGATCACCTTGTGTAAGAGGGCCCTATTACACATGGTGCTTGTAGTGCTAAGGTGATGACATCTCCCATACTTTAACATAGACTTATGGCTACCCTGGTGCAACGATCACATTGATGAACGCGTCCTTGTAAACCAGTGATAGTATAAGCAAAGACTCTTGCTAACAGACATGTTAACAAACAGTCATCAAGGTCAACAACCTTTAGGTTCTCTTTCTTCCTTCCCCGAATAGCCACAGGGGAGATTTCATGTCAAGGGAAGCAACTCTGTTTCATCTGAATACCGCCACTGCCGATGTGACCCCCCCAAAGTATCTTGACTCAGTTTCATACTACAACAATTCTTTCCAAACTTTAGCGAATGCATCACTTTAGGGCATCATGACTTTGTAAACAGCAAGGGTGAGTAACTCAAATGCCTTTTGAGTGAATTTAGTGAACAAGCCAGAAATTTATACCTGCAGCTGGGTTACAGTATTGTGTTTCCCAGCTGCAGGCTAAAACCAAATATCTTGCATGCGTTTCACGGTTTCAGCAGCTGTAGGTACAGAAGGGTTGTAAGAGAGCAGCTCACGTGGATGATGAGTCCTTGTCCAGCACATCCTCTATGCTTTTCTTGATGTCCGGGATCAACATGCTGTACGACTTCCGGGGGCTGCAAAAGGATGGAATGGTTAGAAGTGCGTACAGGGTTGTACAGGTAGGTGTAAAACTGCCTGTTGTGAGTTGACAAAACCACATGACAAATGGATTGAGTGAGTGAGTGATTTGGGTTTAACTCTGATGATGATTATGAAGAACACGTGACAACTACAATTCCAATATCCCCTTCTACCTACCTTGTTGGCTTCTTGATAGTTTCTGGGAAAAACAGGTTCTTCTCAAAATCTGGCAAATTTACCTTTAAAAAGAAAGCGTATATTGACAAACACTGACATGACTGTGTGGATACTTTGAGCTTCACATGTATAAGCACATGTCATCACATATTAATGCTGAACTTCTCAATTCTAAACTTCATTAACAGATTCAGGTGTTGAAGTTAGGTAGGTGGTTCAAATCAGAATATCAGAGTGAACATCAGCGAGTTACAATTTAACGTCACATGGGCATAATTTCAGCCAAATGGCGACGATACCAACTGAAAATCAGATGTTTAGAGGGGGATACTGTTGAATTTGTCTGTGCTTCAATACAACAGTGGATGAGGTTTTGTGTCGTTATTAGCAATATTCCAGCAATATCCAAACATGGGACACCAGAAATGGGCTTCACACATTGTACCCATTTGGGGAATCAAACCCAGGTTTTCGGCATGACGAGCGAACGCTTTAACCACTAGGCTACCCCACCGCCCCCCAATCTGTAGAAACGAAGCAGTATTTTAAACTCAAGTCATCACCATAATTATCAGAACTAACTTCAGTATTGGTCAAGTAAGATATGACCAATGATCAGTTGGGATATCTTTGCAATTTTTAATTTTTAACAAAAAGACAACACTACACAAACCTGTAGCAGCACAGAGTCGGGCAGCAGTGTCTTACAAGACGGCATAATCGGATCAGCCTTGACGCCCATCATGAGAGGGACCAACTGGCTTCCCTGATTCAGATGGCTGTGAAGAAACAACATTGAAGTTTTAACCAGGTTCACATACCACACATTAAGGCCTACTGACTTAGAAAAGTAGCTGGCAGAGTGAGTGCATTTGTGTAAATTGATATACCCTGTGGCAATTCCATGAAGAAATCTTCACACTTTTACTGTTCAAATGGTGTAGTTATAACCATCTTTGTACTAAGATAGTGTTGTGAATCAGAATAAACCGTAGAGAATACTGGTGATGCATTTAAAAGGTCCTGTACTGTGTTGTCATCAACATTTAAGTAATCGTATCCCAATTGCATAGAACAATGCTCATGACGTTAATCACTGGATTCTCTGGTCCAGACTCGAGTATTTTCAGACCGATGTCATATAGCTGGAATATTGCTGAGTGTGTCGTTAAACAGCCAGCCAGCATCGGCACCTGGGGATCCTTTCTATCCTCGAACCCCACGTCAAAAATTGAAAAGAATTGGTGACCCCTTCATCAGGACCCTTGACCTTTACTACATTAATACTCTGTCAAACTCATAAGCATGTACGGTATGATGTAACAGGTCAAGTGGCTTAATCAAGATATATTTGGGATTCAACCCCCCCAAATCACTAGGAATGAGGAGTACGAGAGACTGACCCATCTTGACTGTACAGCTGGATCGTTGCTCCTCCCAGGACGATGGTCACCTTGTGTGTGGTGTCCGCTGATCCACCGGACTGTGGACTCTTCAACCCACACAGCGTCAGGCAGAGGCGAGACTCCCGCGGCAAGATGCACAGCGACATGTTTTTGAAGTCTATCCTGCAACAGTCAACATAAAGGTGTTTGAGAGTCAGGCAGAATATAGTGAGTGAGTGTGTGAGTTTTATGCTGCTTTTAGCAATATTCCAGCAATATCACAGCAAGGGACACCAGAAATGGGCTTCACACACTGTACCCATGTGGGGAATCGAACCCGCGTGACAAGCGAACACTTTAACCACTAGGCTACCCCACCACCCAGGCAGAACATAAAGACCATCAATTCCTAATAAAAGGAGGTGATGCAGTTACTATCTGTTGCAGGTGGTGGAGTGGCTCAATCATGCCCCGTTTCATTGTTAAGTAAGATATCAAGAACCAGCTGTCCCTATGTTTGCCTACAGACTGGCATTCAAATCCCCATGGCAACAGGAAAATCTGTTTTCAGCTGAAAACTTAGTATTGTGTCATCAAATGGGGGGTTACCTACCCCCTGAAGCGGAGAGCTTTTGAGCAATTTATAAATAAAATCGGCAGAAATCAACAGATCAGCAAAAATTTGCCATCCCTGAAAGATCCTGTCACTCCTAAGGGAGAGAAGCAGCTTACACCACTGGGACAACCTGCTCTAGCTGTGTTAGAGTCTCTTACCACTCATCCCTAAAAATCCTCTCACAGATACTCAAGTCCACAATGAACAGATCCTGTGACTGCAAAGGGACATAACTCTAGCCATATATTATTATGGAGGTTGTCTCTCACCATTCATCCCAGACTATTCTCTCACAGAGTCCCGAGGTGACTGCAGGTTTTACGTTGGTGGACACATCCTCAGCCAGCTTCTTTGTTCCATGGTACAAGCTGCACACAACTTTGTATCCTTCATAGCTAGAACAGACACACAACTTTGTATCCTTCATAGCTAGAACAGACAAACATTGTTGTATGCCACAGTCAGAAGTGGGACTTGATCATCGATCATCAACCATCGACTGACTATACGACTGAATATACGTGTGAGTTTTCGCCAAGAAGAATCTATTTTTAAAAATGCTAATTTCTTGTACAATTATGGTACAGATGATATTGCCACATTAACTATTGACTTACAACACCCATTCCCACCCTGCCCAAACAGAAACCCCATTCACCCAGCCCAACCATATACCTCAGTCACCCATCTCACCCCTGCCCAACCAGACACCCATCCTACCCCTGCCAAACCAGACACCCATCCCACCCCTGCCCAACCAGATACCCCAGTCACCCATCCCACCTACCCAACCAGATACCCCTGTCACCCATCCCACCCCTGCCCAACCAGACACCCATCCCACCCCTGCCCAACCAGATACCCCAGTCACCCATCCCACCTACCCAACCAGATACCCCTGTCAGATCCCACCCCTGCCCAACCAGATCCCATCCCACCCCTGCCCAACCAGACACCTCATCCCACCCCTGCCCAACCAGACACCCATCCCACCCCTGCCCAACCAGACACCACCTATCCTCCCACCCCCTGCCTAACCAGATACCCCAGTCACCCATCCCATCCCACCTACCCAACCAGATACCCCTGTCACCCATCCCACCCCTGCCCAACCAGATACCCCTAGTCACCCATCCCACCCCTGCCCAACCAGACACCCCAGTCACCCATCCCACCCTGCCCAACCAGATGTCCCCTGTCACCCATCCCACCTACCCAACCAGATATCCCTGTCACCCATCCCACCTACCCAACCAGATACCCCTGTCACCCATCCCACCTACCCAACCAGATACCCCAGTCACCCATCCCACCTACCCAACCAGATACCCCAGTCACCCATCCCACCTGCCCATCCAGACACCCCAGTCACCCATACCCAACCAGATACCCCAGTCACCCATCCCACCCTGCCCAACCAGATACCCCAGTCACCCACACCCCCCACCTACCCAACCAGATACCCCAGTCAACCAGACACCCCAGTCCCACCTGCCCAACCAGATACCCCAGTCACCCATCCCACCTACCCAACCAGATACCCCAGTCACCCATCCCACTTCTTCCCAAACAGGTACCTGTCACCCCTCTACCATCCCTACCATCTACAAGGCTGTACTCACTGGTTAAGCCAAGCCTGGGGCATCCTATGAGAGGTGGCAACATGTACTATGAAAGTGTCCCTGATGAGGGTGATGTCCTGCATGTCCTTCTGGGTTTCGAGTGGCGGCCCCAGGGTGAAGTCCGTGTGGAAGGTGTGGCAGTACATACGCACCAGCTGCTTCACCGAGATGACCATCTGGTCCATGGCTTCCTGCAGTTCCTCCACGTAGGAACACCGGATCGCCACGCTGGAGAAACAAACACACAGTCACCGTCCTGGAGCCGGCATGAGGGAGGAGGGATGAAGGAGGAGGGAGAAAACATTGATGCGAGGGTTTTATGATTTCAGTGTTTGAGCATGTCCCTATTCTCACTGCTTGGGACAAGTGTGTGGGTACATTTTTTAACCTGTCACAGATACTTGTTTCACAGACCATTATTTTCATGTAACCTCTCAGGAAGTTTTACTATTTTCTTTTAATACCCTATCCCGAGTATGAGGTTTCACTTCATCAGAGTAAGTACAGTAGGAGCTTATATTTCTTTCCTAGTAAGTTTTTCACAGTAAGTACAGTGTGAGGTTTTCCTTTTTTCACAGTAAGTATACTATGAGGTTTTACTTTTACACAATAAGCACACAATGAGGTTATAGATTTCACGTTTTTTCACTTTTTCACAGAAAGTACAGTATGAGGTTTTACATTTTCATACTAAGTACTGCATAAGGTTTCACCCTTTTCACAGAAAGTACACTATGAGGTTTCACATTTTTCACAGTAAGTACACTATGAGGTTTCACCTTTTTCACAGTAAGTACACTATGAGGTTTCACTTTTTTCACAGTAAGTACACTATGAGGTTTTACTTTTACACAATGAGCACACAATGAGGTTTCACCTTTTTCACCGTAAGTACACTATGAGGTTTCACCTTTTTCACAGTAAGTACACTATGAGGTTTCACCTTTTTCACAGTAAGTACACTATGAGGGATTCACCTTTTTCACAGTAAGTACACTATGAGGTGTTTCGAACAAATCACTTACTTTATAGCGTCCATGGTGTCTCTGTCAGCCTGTGTTCCAGAGCCGGCCATCAGGGAGCTTGCTCTGTTGCTGGGGTTCTGAAAAGAAATAATCTCACTGTTACCATGGTGACTGAGTGATGTAAGAGGATCAATAACAGGAGAAAATCTGAGTGAGTGAGTGAGTGAACAACATCAGTCATATTATATCCCACTGTAACCATGGTCACTAGAGCTGGCTATCATTATATAACTAAATGTGAATCTATTACTGGTGAGTGATGACATATTTATGCATGGATTACTAACAAAACTGCATGCTGAACATAATCTAGAAGCAGCCTTAACTCTGTGCACTGTGTGAGTAAATTAAACCAAAATTTCACAACAACAGTTTAGGTATGATATCATCGATGACACATTTATTACATCAATAAATGAATGTTTCTTCCCATCGACATTATTTTTTATTATTGATGTTTTTAGCCAGACAAATTGTGACTGAGCGATTCAAAAACATCAAGGAAAATATATTTTCAATATCCCAGGTGAGTGGGGGAGGGTGGGTGGGGTGGTGATGGTGGCGTGTGTGTGATGATAATGATTTTAAGAGGGGTGACCCATTTTGGTCTGGGGAGGTAGGGGGGTCATCAACTTTCTACACATGTACTAGGGGGGTCGTCACTGAATTTGTGCATGATGTGCAGGGGAGGAGGGGTATTTACTGTGTACATAAATTTGGTGAGTGAGTGAGCGAGCGAGTGTCGCGTCGCGATGCGCGCAAGGCGTGCGTCGCGTGCGTGCGTCGCGTCGCAGTGTCAAGGCGTTCATACTATTCCGCGGCAGGGTAGCCTAGTGGTTAAAGCGTGCGTGCGTGCATGTCAGTCATTCACATTGTTCATACTATTCCATAAAAATCATCATCACCCCACCTAGCCATATATTATGAATGGTCCCTAATAATCTCGGCATCCTCACCTTCAAGTCAGAGAGAATCCTTTCCAGTCTCTCCAGAGTCTTGCTAATGTCGGTCGTCTCAATCTTGGCCAGGTTTGTGCAGATCGCCTTCACTGACTGATGGATCTGTTTCGGCTGGACTAGTTCAATTTCACCCTGAAGCAAGAAAAGATTACTTCTTTCATATCTTCCACACAACCACATTCAATATATCATGCGATCATCGAGTGATCCTTAACTTCTTTGAGTGGTATATCACATGCAACATATTACGGAAACTATGTTTATAGTTAATTAGCCCTATTTAGTTTACCCTACCGCATCCCATTGATTCATGCTGCACTGTGTGTAAACGTGTGGAAACAACCTCAGTTCAGAGGGATACTTGCCCATGAAAGTTAGGTGAATATCGAGTTAAAAGGGTAATTTTGCCTGTTGGGACCATGAAATTATATCGAGATATCAGAAATATCGAGACATCCCTATCGAGCTAAAAGAGCTTGAATAATGATAAATTATGAAGGATTTTGCCGGGACCGAGATGTTATATCGAGATAACCGAGATATCGAGTTATCGACTGTAGTTATCGTGGGAAGTGACCATCACCTTCAGCACGAGGTCACTCATACGTTCCATCTCCTGGTAGAAAGTGTCCAGGAGAATCTCCAAGGAATCCCTGTAACCATGGCAACAGGACAAGTTTAGTACATTAGGTAAGAAAAACATTTGTATGAATTTAGTTCCTTCATAAAATTCAAAGAAAAAGGTTGGAAATAAAAGAACCTGTACCTTTTGAAAACATAAAAAAATGATGACACCTCAGCTGATCATGCATATGTAATCTTTCCTTCTTTTGGGGCAACAATCACATCTCGTTTTTATAAATTGATTAAAAGCTAGTAACCGCTAGAAGTGTGAAAGTTGTGATACTGGCAACTGATGATTCAAATGCAAATTTCATACATGATTGTTTTCGGAACATAACTATCCTATTGTAAAACATGCTGAGTTGAGGAGAAACTTTTCCAAATCGGGCAAATTGGCACCTATGTTTCATTGACCACAAGTAAGGTCTCACCTGGACACCGCGTCCTTGTCCGTCTTAATGTATTCCTTGGGGAAGAGGAGCTTCTGTGAGTCATCGTCCACCTGCAGACAATAAGCAGTGTGCAACAGTGTGGACAAACTACTCTCAATATTCCAGAGCTATACAGAGCCCCACCCTTGTGTCTTCTGCTGAGATCAAACATATGAAAATAAGTTGATAAAATCCCAATATCTCAGGCTGGCCAAGGATACTTTTACTTTCACCAAATCCACTTGATGTATGTATTTCAGGTCAAAACACGTAATGAGAGAGGTGGGTGACATCATCAATTGCCACTGATGCAAGCACAAGAACCATTATCATACAGAGAGACAAGGATCCTGGATGGTTGCTTGTTGTTTAATGCCGCTCTCAGCAATATTCCAATTATATGGCGGCGGTATTTGTCCGCGGTCTGTAAATAATTGAATCTGAACCAGACAATCCAGTGATCAACAGCATAAGCATCATTTCAAGCAAACGGGATACGACGATATGTGTCAAACAAGTCAGTGAGCCTGACAACCTGATCCTGTTAATCGCCTTTTACAACAAGCATGGGTTGCTGAAGATCAATTCTAACCCGGATCTTCATGGGTGGAGATGGGAAGATTTAGACACGGGACTTGTTCAACTCACCGTCCTCAGGAAGGGGTGGAGGATGTCCTGCTTGTGCAGCATCTGGAAGCGGATGTCCTCATCCAGCTTCATGCAGTGATGCACGTAGTCCAGGGAGGACAAGGACAGGTGGCTGGAGGACGAGAACACATACATGCAGTCCTCATGCAGGAGCTACCATGCTTATGGATTACACGTAAACTCATTGTCTTCTTACGTGTGTTTGCCATGCTTCTTAGCCAATTCCTTGGATACTCCTCTCAATGTTTTTTTTAAACAATGATAATATTTATGATTACAGATGTACTATTGAAAAGAGAATTAAAATATAATTGTGAAGCCACGAGAACATGTTTTATGCGTAAATAATTTTAAAACTGGTTGACAGGGTGTACTGAATTCTGCTGCCATTGGTGCTGCTTTGGTATGACAAGAGTTATTTCCCTTCCAATATCAATTTTCCTCTTTTTCTGATCACTAAATACCTAGAATAGGACGAAAGCAAAAGTATTTTTTATTAATAAATATTATTAATCAACATTGTAATTCTTGGGTAGGCAGTTTCATAAAATGAGTTTTAAAACACCAGATAATTTTGAGGAATTTCTACAATCTAACCTCTGTAGATACTCTGCCCTGTCGTACACCTTGAGCACGAAGTCGGATGAAGTGAGCTGCTGGCCGTGACTCGGAGACTCACTGTACACCACCTGGCTGATCACGTGTTCCACCAGGGTGTGCGCTGAAACCATTCAGTCAGAATCAGTGATGTCATTCACAACCCATGTGGTCTTAAATTTCTTACAAAAGGGAATGTCACACAATCACTCAGTTCCCATATTGTGTTCAGCCGAATCTTATCAATTGCTTCCAACAACAGTGAACTGATGCTCTGTTCTGCCAAGAATCCACAAAGGTCAGGATCACTGGGTCAAGGTCAAGGACACAGTCACTAGCAACAAGTTTTCTCTCCATCTTTGTATCATATCCGAGAAAATTACAAAACTCATCTTGTCTGCATCCAACACAGGTTCCATTCACGATTAATTTAAAATATTTTCAAACATATTTCGCTCGCTGCAGCACTTTAGAAATATGAAATTACAAAAATCATCTCGTCTGTATTCAACACAAGCTCCACTTCATAATAAGAAATCCAAACAAGAATTTTTAAACATATACTGAGGGAAACAAAAAAGGGAAAACATGAAAGCACAAGTGTTCCTGGATTCTTTTCCAACTTTCTTCACAAGCCTTGTCTTGCACTGTAGGTGAAAATTTGAGAATAAATAGAGGAACACTGCTTTGACATGTGGTTCCTTGTTTGTTTCCTTCAGTATATTTGTCTCATTGATGCTAATGAGAAATATGAGGAGCACAAGCATAGGAAGAAAGGTAAACATTGATTGATTGTTGTTTAATGCCGCACTCAGCAATATTCCAGATACATGGCAGCAGTCTGTAAAGCATCAAATCTGGACCAGACAATCCAGTGATCTACAGCATGATCATCAATCTTCACAACAGGGATATGATGACATGTGTCAACAAAGTCAGCGAGGATGACCACCTGATCCTGTTAATCGCCTCTTACGACAAGCATGGGTTACTAAAGACCATTTCTAACCTGGATACAGTTGAGATGAGTACTTACTATCACAGGTAACCTGACAGGTGAGGGCAGGTAAAGACAGGGGAGTACTTACTATCACAGGTAACCTGACAGGTGAGGGCAGGTAAAGACAGGGGAGTACTTACTATCACAGGTAACCTGACAGGTGAGGGCAGGTAAAGACAGGGGAGTACTTACTATCACAGGTAACCTGACAGGTGAGGGCAGGTAAAGACAGGGGAGTACTTACTATCACAGGTAACCCTGACAGGTGAGGGCAGGTAAAGACAGGAGTACTTACTATCACAGGTAACCTGACAGGTGAGGGCAGGTAAAGACAGGGGAGTATTTTACTATCACAGGTAACCTGACAGGTGAGGGCAGGTAAAGACAGGGAGTACTTACTATCACAGGTAACCTGACAGGTGAGGGCAGGTAAAGACAGGGGGAGTACTTACTATCACAGGTAACCTGACAGGGTGAGGGCAGGTAAAGACAGGGGAGTACTTACTATCACAGGTAAAGCTGACAGGTGGAGCAGGTAAAGACAGCAAACACAGGGGAGTACTTACTATCACAGGTAACCTGACAGGTGAGGGCAGGTAAAGACAGGGAGTACTTACTATCACAGGTAACCTGACAGGTGAGGGCAGGTAAAGACAGGGGAGTACTTACTATCACAGGTAACCTGACAGGTGAGGGCAGGTAAAGACAGGGGAGTACTTACTATCACAGGTAAAGCTGACAGGTGGAGCAGGTAAAGACAGGGGAGTACTTACTATCACAGGTAACCTGACAGGTGAGGGCAGGTAAAGACAGGGGAGTACTTACTATCACAGGTAACCTGACAGGTGAGGGCAGGTAAAGACAGGGGAGTACTTACTATCACAGGTAACCTGACAGGTGAGGCAGGTAAAGAGACAGGGGAGTACTTACTATCACAGGTAAACTGACAGGTGAGGGCAGGTAAAGACAGGGGAGTACTTACTATCACAGGTAAACTGACAGGTGAGGGCAGGTAAAGACAGGGAGTACTTACTATCACAGGTAACCTGACAGGTGAGGGCAGGTAAAGACAGGGGAGTACTTACTATCACAGGTAACCTGACAGGTGAGGGCAGGTAAAGACAGGGGAGTACTTACTATCACAGGTAACCTGACAGGTGAGGGCAGGTAAAGACAGGGGAGTACTTACTATCACAGGTAACCTGACAGGTGAGGGCAGGTAAAGACAGGGGAGTACTTACTATCACAGGTAACCTGACAGGTGAGGGCAGGTAAAGACAGGGGAGTACTTACTATCACAGGTAACCTGACAGGTGAGGGCAGGTAAAGACAGGGGAGTACTTACTATCACAGGTAAAGCTGACTGGTTCTTGAGATGGTTTGAAATGGATGATGACCTTGACTGATGTTGGCTTATGTTTCTTGTCAGAGACAGGTGAAATAATTAGTCCAGGGTTAGCCTTCTCATCTGTAGACTTGTAGTGACTCTTCAGTCTGAAGGCAATAAACTCACATAAAATTCTCCCCGTAGAAGTCGCTATAGGCTAACTTATATCTGTTTCAATTTTCAAAATCTGATGACTCCACCCTCTGCTGGATTTACAATGTCAATAAACAATGTGTGTTTTCAGGTTAACATGGCACATTAACGTGTTACATCTACAAATTAAACAGCAAAACAAATCTTGAAAGTTTGTAAGGTGAACATCACTAAGCTAGTTCATCGTGAATGTATGTTTCATTGTACAAATGACTATCTGAAGTAGTGTTGGTCCGATTGATTGAAATAATCGAAGATTGGTCGCAGTGACTAAATGACCAAACAATCGATCATGTTTTCTCATAATCGAACACAAACAATTCTGGAACACTTTTTGCATTAACAATATTTTTCACACGGTTGGTTTTGTCGGTTACATTTCATGAGCACTACAAGCTCGTTCCAAGTGACAATTGAATTTATCTGTAAAACCCCATGAAATTTATGTTCCTAAGGTACTAGTCATCCTTTAAAGATGTGCAATTTGCAAAAAAACACCACAAAGAACAACATGTTTTTTCTTTATGTTTTTGTGCTTTTACAAAAATAACCAACAACATTTCATACATGACGCTAACCAATTATTTTCGACGATTGATCGGTTGTAATGAACCAATCATCAATTATAAGATTTTAACCAATTCCCAACACTAATCTGAAGCATCACCTTTTTGTAGGTGATGAAGGAAAATACTCCTACAAGTTATGTATGAAAATGTTAAAACATTTTGAACACATGTATACTGTCAGTTTGGAATCTGTAAGAAGACTGTGGGTGTGTCTGCAAACAAACAATTTCCACTCAAGATAGTCGGAATACATTTGAATAGATTCCTTTCATCATGATAAAATGATTTCCAAATATGGTGCTCACGCCATTCGAGGGCATATTTCTCATGTGCCGATAAGGATGGGACTAAACGCAAAAAGTACTAGAATTTGTACAGCAGTTGTCCTCTAAACACATAATCAGAGCTGTTAGCTGAGCTCTAATCAATGAATCAGAGCCAGCAGCTGTTCTCTAAACACATAATCAGACCTGTTAGCTGAGCTCTAATCAATGAATCAGAGCCAGCAGCTGTTCTCTTAACACATAATCAGAGCCAGCAGCTGTTCTCCATTCACATAATCAGAGCCAGCAGCTGTTCTCTAAACACATAATCAGAGCCAGCAGCTGTTCTCTAAACATATAATCAGAGCCAGCAGCTGTTCTCTAAACACATAATCAGAGCCAGCAGCTGTTCTCTAAACACATAATCAGAGCCAGCAGCTGTTCTCTAAACATATAATCAGAGCCAGCAGCTGTTCTCTAAACACATAATCAGAGCCAGCAGCTGTTCTCTAAACACATAATCAGAGCCAGCAGCTGTTCTCTAAACACATAATCAGAGCCAGCATCTCTCCCCTAAATGGAGCTGTGAGCTGAGCTATCAGTTCATCACTTACTCTGCAACCATCTGACAGAAAGCATTTGATTCTTCATCACTGAACAACCGTTTCCGTAGTTTCTCCGGCATACTGGCCTGCAAGCAGAGGAATTTACAGTTTGTGAAAAACATCAAAAGCATGTCAGTGTAATGTTGCTTGTACATAGCCATACTTATACAGTGTTAGCCCACTGAGATACCACAGTTCAACATGGACACTTAACTTTGACTCTGAACATGGGATACAGGAGACCTATCCTGCCCTGAAATCTCCACAAAGTATGAGGGACTGAGAATCTAATCTGCACTGGAATCTCCACGGAGTGAAAACCAAAGGGTACAGGGCACCCACTTTGCCCTGAAATCCCCATGCTGATACAAGCATGGGTTTAAGGGAACATATTCTCACCCCAAATCCGATTCTGATTTTTCTTACACAATCTCTACAAAGGAAATACCATTGGAAACATTTTAAGCTCCTACCGACAAACAATCTCAACTGAATAATATCAAATGTATGAATACCTTGGTGTTGGTTTTCCATGATGGCGGTCTTGGTGGTGGTTTTGAGGTGGATGATTCTCTTGAAAGACTCGTCCCCTCCGACCTGTATGTCACACTCTCACCGACAGGCACCGGCACATCCAAGTCCTGCACATGTATTTGAGTTCGGTCTGCCGATGCCCATTCATCTAACTGGTTAATACACTTCTCTGTGTCGGGAGTTTGTGGTTCAGCCTGAGCTTTTGTGAAACTCGGGAAAGCATCTCCAAATGAAAACGAAAAGGAGGCTTCATTTGGTACAACAGACACCGATTCCTTCCTGGCTCGATCATACAAAGGGTCAAAATAGTCCAGGGACAGATACTCATACTCTACAACAGGCTCCCCATGAAAGTTCATTAAATCACCTGAGCTGGAACCACTTTGAGCTGGTGAAGGTTGAAGAAATTGTTTCTGTTCAAACTGTGCCCACCCGCCATCATTAACACCAACTTCCTTCCAAGCAGAATCAAACACATCACCACAGCTCGCTGGTCGAGGCAAGGAGTTGACCTTCGTTGACCCTCCCCACGCTCCTTGACCGCTCGGAGGAGCGAAGGGATTCCCCGGACATCCCACACCTGGTACTGGTGGAACAACATCCAAGACAAATCCTATAGGTGGCGCTGGAGCCTGGTAGGAAGGAACATTACTGGCGTTATTTTGTTCGTAGCCTTGGTTAAACAAGTTCTGATTCCATCCATATGATGAGGTTGGGTTAGGGTTTGGAATTTGTGGGTACATTGTCGTCTGCTGTCCGTACACATTGGGTCTGATTTCATTGAAAGCACCACTGATATCCGGGTAGATACTCCTGGATGTGCTGGAAGGAAGATCTTCCAGAGAGGAACTTCTCCGTTCTTTCCCGAAAGGATGTCTGCCAGGATCAGTAAAGTCTAAGCCATCCAGGTCAGCTAGGAAGCCAGACTCTGCGTTGGACGATGGTGTGTATTTTTCTATGGGTGACTTGTATTTTTCTACGGGTGACAGGGATATAAGTGCTTTGTTGGGTAGATGTATATGTGCCTCAGAATTTGTGCCCCTCAGAGGGACTCTGACTGGCTGGGTTTCATGTAGGCTAGCATGACGGGGCGGGATGGGAGGTGCTCCATTGCCTGTTTGAAGCTGTAGGCTTGCCGCTCGGTCCAGCTCTCGTCGTGGGGGTATAGGAGGAGGCCCTTCCAGGATGGGAAATCCGTTGCTCCGGGAACCTGACGGCAGCGCCATTGATCACAGAGAACCTCACACCTCTATTGTTTTCATGTATATTGAACCATTTCTGAAAAACAAATTAACAGAAATTAGGTAAGTTTGTATCTTAGTACTCAACTTGTGGAATAGATACTCAATATTTCACACAAAAATACAAAGAAAATAACAATTTAAATATTACGGGAATGTATGCATGCTACTGCTACTCAAAACATTAAAGGGGATTGGAAAGATCGGAACTCGGCAGCATGTTGTACCTCAGATCAAAAGGGACTGGAAAACTGTTGGAATCACGATATGAGACTACCTTTCTAAACATGAATCAGAATGTGGTTACATGATGTAAACCAGGAAGGTTTGTATGTCGAGAATGGTATGGCAAGTATGGCAGCTAGATTCTGAGCCATCTTGGACTTTGGTGAAGGTGAGCATCTTGTGTTTAAAGTGTGATATGTTTATTGTGAGACAACATGGTCTGGGCTATTATCGTATTGATTAAATGTGCACATCAAATCGGCGTGCGGCGGTGAGTGAGTGAGTGAGTGAGTGAGTGAGTGAGTGAGTGAGCTGACCTCAGAGTGAGCATGAGTGAGTGAGTGAGTGAGTGATGCATACATGCTTATAATTAGTTGTTAAAAGAAAACAATATCGTCTGAGAAAAAATGGCTGCGTCATGTTTGAACTCTGCGTTAGAATGTTTTATGGGCCATTTATCACAACAAAGGATCAAACGTTTGTTTTCATTACTATTATTGCTACCATGGACTGGTATACCGGTTGTTATAACAGTCAGACAGCAGTTATCACAGGCTACTAGGAGTTTTGCCGATAGCTCAGTGAGTATTGGTCCGGTAAGTGATGTTTCTGGCCCCTTTCTTCTAACCTCGTAATTAACATTGTCTAAAATATTTATTTATTTTAGGTCCCCAAACCTCGAAATTTAAATCACCTCGAAAGCTCTGGGGTCTCAAACCTCGAAATTTTAATACCTTGAAAATTTCCCGGTATACGGTATTTACAAAAATTCAAGCATACGGTACTTGTAAGTAATAGACTTAATAGGTATAGAGTTTTAAAAACAATATACGCAGATACACAGCGTATTTGTACCTCTGATGATACACATCACAAATCTTTGGGTAACAAATACAATAACAAGGCAGAACTTGATGTATTACTCTCTATATTCATATGCAAGTGTTGAGTCTCTGATAGCAATTAATCGATGGTAAAACAAAATACTATCGATGCATCGATAGTATGTGTGACTATCAATAGTTTAGTAATTGACTTCCGTTGATAAATGCGCAGCGCAAAATACAGGAAGTTCCAGATTCGTTCACTTTGATTTAGAGTTATCTGCCCCTATTACCTCTTAAACAAACATGGCGGCAAACACGGCTTGCAAATCGCTGTTTGAAATTGTGAATAACAATAAGTTTACTTGATCTGGGTTTCAAGTTTCTTGTCAGTTATTATAAGAGACTGAAACTACTTCAACTTGTTTTTATTTCATATAAACTATACATTCATTTGGGAAATGACTTCAAATGAGACAATACAAAGAGAAAATAACTATTGCAATAGTTGGTCGCGATAGTATGTTGCAATAGACTACTGGTCTTGTAATAGTTGTTACCCCCTCAATAGTCATCACTAATATTCACTATTCAGTGAAGCAATAAGAAAATACATATTTTGACATCTTTTCACCATGTTGCCAGTGATAAACTATTACAGTGACAAGTGACCACATTATTGTCAAAACAAACATATATGAGTGTTGGCTATAATCCTGCCTGGCTTAGGTAGATTCCCATCTGCATGTCTAAGCTAGCGAAATAACCCTCAAATTCATGTCAAAACACTCTCCTTTACAAAACTCATGAATATTCGACTCAAGTAACTATGAATAACAAATTGCATTCATGTAGGGTCACGGTTTGTTTCACCAGGTATTCGAGTAAATTGTAACTATGGTAACAGCAGTATTGTACTGTTGACTTTCATCAGGAAACATATACTGAACATCATTGAAAACACACCAGTCTAAAATTGTCCATATTTTCATCAAGATGGATTTCAGCATGACAATAAATATAACTAACATGAAGTCGAAGTGCCAATGAGGACAAGATCCCTTTCTCTTCCATGTACGTTTAACACTCCATCAAGTCGCATCGGAAACCATAAACCGGAACGACCGGGTAATACAAAAACAGAAATCAAAAACAGCATCAAAAATGAAAAGAAACTCATATAATGGCGAAGGGCATGTCCAGTTGAAAGTATGCTTTAGAAACAAATTCCTGTCCACAGTATGATTCTTAATTCCAAAATGCATCAACATGCAGCCACGCCATGAAACAAGCACGAATTTCATTCTGAAATCATACTGACTGTGACATTAAAAGCAGGTGTATGAGAACCGATTCTCATTGCTTCACTAACGATTGTGAAACGAGGACAGAGATGCCGAGGTTAACACCTCAAGAAAGAGAACATGCACTAGGCATGATTCAGGTTGGCACGAGCAGCAGGGTTGCTGCTCCTCGACAACTTGACTTAGCCACTCCATTATCATTAGGCTTCATAGGCGACATCAGTAGACAGGCAGGTTATAGCATCTGTTTGACAGTGACAGCAGTGAGCTATAATTAGAAACAAGAGTATGGGTCATGTGATGGGTCATGTGACTGGTCATGTGACGGGGAGTTGAGGCGAGGCGAGCCACGGGCAGGGGTGAGAGAGAGGTCGGCCGAAGCAAAAAGATGCTAACGTTCGGGCATAGGGCTACACGGTTTTCAACCGTATTACAGCGTAATTTAAAGGGTTTGCATAGGAAATATGAGTTGTAACTGTAATGGTCCTGAATAAAGAAGTGGAACAACGTCCTGCGTTTGTGGAACCTACAAAAGTTGAAAACCAGCCCGTCAGTTGTCACGAAAGTTTCACGAAAACAGGACAGGCGGCTGAAGACTCGGAAAAAACACGAGGCTAAACACTGCCAAACAATACAGTGTCATGAAGGTAACAGTCAAGTTCAAGATAGACAAATGCTATTTCAAAGTGTTACTAACATAATTCAAGTCATATTTTGGTGTGGAAGTAACTTTATAAACTGTCGTTTCGAAATGAAAACATTCGTCACGCTTGCATTGTGGGAAGAGCACGTGTGTTTGGATATTCGACATGGTACGCCGTGGGTATCAAAATGAGTTCATGAACTTTGACATTGCTTATGACCAGTTAACCTGTTAACTTTGAAAGCGAAGACTGAAGATTTCTTTTTGTTTCCAATATGTCGGAGGCAAGTGGTAGAAAGAGACAGTTAACAGAAAAGGGATTAGAATACAAACTCACACGACTGAACGAAAATAGAAGATTATTGGGGAATCAAGTTACTTCAATTGAAAATAGCCTTCTACAATTGATGTCAAGCTTTGATAACTATGACAGAATTCAGACAGAATATGCATTATGGAAGGAGAAATATCAGGCATTTGATAATGCTCACAGTTCTTATCATAGTGAATTAGTGAGCCCACATGAACTAGAAGAATCTTCAACATGGTATGCTAGGAGAAAGAGTGACTTTATGAGTTTCAGAGAATCAGTAGACGTTTGGCTGAAGGATGCTGAAGAGAGGTTAGACATAGATATTGTGTCAAATGTAGTCAGGCCTGAAGATAGCATTTCACATGCTTGTTCGGATAGAAGTTATCAGTCGACAGTACAGTCCACTGCTTCTAAAGAGAGAATGAAAGCGGAAGCTAAGCGAGCAGAGTTGTTAGCACGCTCTTCAGTATTGAAACAGAAGCAAATGTTAGAGGAAGAAGAAAGTCGTCTTAGACACTTGAAAGAAGAAGTTGAGCTTAGAGCAGAATTAGCAGCTACAGAAGCCAAAACACTGGTATATAAGCAGTATGAGAGTGAAGATAGTCAGAAAGTAATTCAGAGGGATGATACTTCAAACATTAAGGAGGAAAAAGAGATTCATATCAGTCAGAGACGTCCAAGTACACCGAGAGTAGAATACTTAGACAATGTTAGAAACTTTGACTCATCAACTAGAAGACTTAGCAACCAGAATAGTGGAAACCCACTTTCAAATGATGGAAAACCAAAACCAAGTTCAGGTGAAGGGAAACCACAGTCTGACACATCATTACATGATATCTTGAGCAAACAGAACCAATTGATGGAACTATTAATGGAGCAGCAACTTATGTCAAAGTTACCATTTAGAGATATTTCTGCATTCAGTGGGAATCCGTTGGAATTTCATGGTTTCATGCAATCTTTTGAACACATCATTGAAGAAAAAACTCATAACCCGAAAGATAGGTTGTATTATTTAGCGCAGTACACAAGAGGGGAACCTTATAAATTAGTGCAGAGCTGTATGCTTATGAGACAAGAAGATTGTTATTGGACAGCAAAGAATCTTCTCAGAAAGAAATATGGAGATCCGTTTAAGGTGGCTTCAGCATACATCGAGAAAGCATTGAATTGGCCACCTGTGAAATCTGAAGATGTTCAGGCATTGAACAGTTTCTCACTCTTTCTAATAGGATGTAAGAACAGCATGACCAATATTGAATATATGAGAGAGTTAGATCACCCTATCAACTTGAGAACTCTTGTTTCGAAGCTACCATTCAAGCTGAGGGAGAGATGGAGAATGCAAGCCCATTTAATCCAAGAAAAGCAAAGAAGATATGCTGATTTCATAGATCTTGCTGAATACGTGGAGGAACATACAGAGATAATATCCAACCCATTGTACGGCAATATTGTGGAAGACAAAGCATCTAAGACTAAAGTACAACCAACCAAAACAAGCAAATATAAAAGTTCAAGCTTTACCACTGTATTGTCGGAAGTTGAAAATTCCAAGGCAAGGAGGTTTGAATCCCCAAAACACACAGATATGAAATCCGAAAGGAATACATTGGAGAGTTATACAGATCGCACAATATCTAGTGAACAGCAGACAAATGGGAGTAAAAGTGCTTTTAGATCTCCATGTCTATATTGTCATGCAGAACATTCCTTGGGAAATGT